TCTGTTAAAAGCAACAAACCACAAATATTTAAAGCATTTGCCTCTATGTAAAACTCATTTCCCAAAGTGTCTGGTTTTATTTTTCAATTTATTTCGAGGGGGTTAGTGACGGAGACTTGACTATAATTGCTTCAAGTAAAACAAATAAATAGATAAGTTTGCAAGTACTTATGTATGCGTGTGTATAGCACATGTGAATTGTGCAATTTCAAAGCCACAATTCCCTTGAAGTGTTTGCGACTTATGGTAGTACGCTGTCTTGGGCTTTGTCTTTGTCTTCTAGTTGACAATAAACCTGAATTATGTGCAACAATGAAATGGATTTCCACCACTCCCAGGAATTTCCATATCTAAGTATATTCATATAAAGATATGTGCTTGCCTGAGAGCATTATTAAGAAGAGAACTTGAGTACTTTCAAGTGGCCACAGCTCAGTCTCAAACACTAGAAAACTCCAGACTTTCCTTGGCATAGGGGTTTGCAGATATATAATATACATATGTATATATTTTTAACTCACCTGAAAGTAAAAGAAAAGGAATTTTCAAATTAGTTAATAGTTTATACTCTAGGATTATGTGACAAACATTAATTAGCTTTTACACAACATACCAGACTTCAGATTAACTTTCATAAACAACAAAATCAGAAATGAGAGCAGAGATCTGAGCACTGAGAACTGAGAATTAGGGTAGCCGGAGGACAAAAGCTTAATCGAATGTCATGACCAACTGCAGCACAAATTGTTATTGCCTCATTATAAATAATCCCGCCCGACCCGCGACTCTGCACCCACCCTTCATCTTCGACCCCTGTGCCTGCCCCTGTGTAATTGCTCTAAGCGTTGTTAATGTTGTTGGCTGTTGCCATACGATTTAACCCCTGGAACCCCTAAAAACCCCCCAGAAAACCCAGAACAGAGACAAAAAAATATATATGTATAAAAACTAGAGCACACACAAATATCTCAATTGTCCGAGGGTGGTGGCAAAAGTTAGCACCAGACATGGAACATCCATCTGCGGAATCCAGAGCAATAAATTAGCATAAGCCTGACACGGAGCCCACCTTGTGACATTCTATACAATACATAATGAAAGAACCACGGGTGCCCAGGTCACATATGCTTGGCTTTTCATTTGTTCTTTTTGACGCTTTTCCTCTCAATCATTTTCCAAACAGATGTTGAAGGGAACTTTGATATGTTTGCTTGTTTGTTTTTTGTTTGCCCCGGCAATTTTCCCTTTTTGTGTATTTTGGTTTGTGGTCTTTTGTTTTAATTTTAGCTAGTAGCTAAGAAATTCTACATTACCCAATATAATTTAATTAATATTACAAGTATCAGTAAAGGTATATTAAATATCCATTTAGACACAGCTGTCAAAAGCATAAATTCGTAAATGTAATTAAGTTTCGACTAGCCAAGATTGATATATCTTCTTCTCTTCTGGTTTTCTGAACAAAACTTTAGCTGGCCAGAAGGCAACCCCTCTTTTTGGTGGCACTGTTGACAGGCTGAAAGGCCAATCGAATGCCAATCGATAAATAATAAAGGCAGCCTCCTGATCGAACAGCAACCCCTGTGATATATCTATATCTGGCCCCCTTTTTCCCATATTTTATTTCTTTACTTCTTTTTTATTCCACCCTTGGGAAAAGGCGCGCGAGATGCGTGCCGAAAAAGTGTTAAAAATGCATTTCACCGAGGGGGGTGGGAGGAAAAGCGAAAGGCAAAAAGAAAATCTGCCTTGATTTTATTTTTTTTATCGAAAAAGGTGCACAGGTTTTTTCCCCCTATTTATTATACCCCTTGTTGGCAGGGTATTTTTATTTTGAGATTAATTAAATGTTTTATAAATATGAATCTATTTCCTATTGTGAATTCATAAATTACTAAAATAATTTAATTAATAAAATATTTTTTGTTCCATAGATACATATTTATTGATAATTTTCTTTGACAATTTTTTGTTTAAAAAACTCATAACTCAACCAAAAAAGCATTAATTTCAATTCGGAAAGCGGTCCTATGTTAGTTTTTGTTAGAATATTAATTCTACATACTTAATTAAAAATTTTTAAAATTTCACATTTTTGTCATATTTTTTTTAATTTTAACGATGTAACACCTTATAAAATTTTGAAAAAATCTATAAAATATTTTTTTCTGTCAAAGATGGCTAGGTCGATCCGGCTAATGATGCTGATCAAGAATATATATGATTTATAGGGTCGGAAGTGATTCCTTCACTGCGTTTTAAGCTTCTGACTAAAAGTAGTATACACTGCAAGGGTATAAAAATTAGCTCATAATGTTTCCAATTTCCCAACTTCAAGGGTATCAAATATGTCGATTTAATAATAATCTCTCAATAATTTAGTTGTTCCAATTTTTTATTGTATTTTTTGTTGTGTGAAAATCCATTGAAATGGTCATAAAATACATTTCTAAAGAACGCGTAGCCACACACGTGCCGACAGCATTAAATGGACCGTGCTTCCCCCGAAAAATTGCCAATGGTCATTGGAATGCCAAATGAGTGATTTAGCATCCGATGGCGGCCATATAAAGTACCGATAACTGCCGCTGGCTATTGCAAAACTTGATCAATGTCAGCAAATACCACACACATATGTATATAGTACATAGTACTTGCTTACAAACGATCTGCCATTATGGACTGGAAACTGTTGCGAATTATGAGCACATAAGCTGATTGCTGCGTTTAAGGAAGGGCTTAAGGATGCACCTCGAGTTTCCCCGTAACCCAACGTAAGCTCGCCACATGACACATGCACCGACATAACAGTCAACAGTGGATACACTGAGAAATATAACTTTAACTAGGGGATATTTCCGAAAGGTGTTTACCTTCCAGGCATTATGGATTTTTATGGTCTATCAATAATACATTTCCTGTATTTTAACATGTGAAGGAGTCATTTCCGACCCTATAAATCATATATATTCTTGATCAGCATCAACAGGCGAATATATCTAGGCATCTTAGGAAGAAATAAAAATTGTATCAATTTTTTTTAACTTTTGCAAGGGGTTACATCGTTAAAATTGTCAAAAATTGACGAAAATGTTGATTTTTTTAAATACTAAATTGAGTATGCAGATTTATTAAACTAATAAAAACTAAGATAGGAACGATTTCTGAATCGAAATTAATGCATTTTTGGCTAAGTTATGAGGTTTTAAACTTTTGATTTGTCGAAAAAATTGTCATATAAAAATATCAATAAATATCGATGCGAAGAATGAGAGTACTTAAAGCTTGGTAATAATAGATTTCGGAATCGATTCTATAGTTCAATTTCAAGCAATATATATAGATATATAAAAAATATCTATTTAAGATCCCTCTTTTTGCAAATAATAAGAACCTCAAATAGTTACTTTTCCCAACTCGGAATAAAAATGAAGATTTCATTAAATGAAATATGATTTTTTTGCGCTGTGCTTTGGAAAACTTGTGGCAAATTGAATTTGCCGGCAAGACGCTGTTGACTCCTCAGTGCACTTTAGCACGTAGTCCTAATGGTGGATGTGGGTGTGGGCTCTGAGTTCCGGGAATGGTGAGCTGAGGGATGAGACTTGGCTCGGCTGAGTAACAAGCAAGCAAGCCTGGCAGAAAGAATGGAAATGTTTATGCAAACAGTTTAAGCCACGAGTAAAGTTGAGAGACATGGCAGAGGTTTTGGTGACGGGGGGAGTTGGGAGGTTGGGCCACAAGTGGAGGTAACTGGGCGAAATGTTGCCATTTCCATGCTAAACGTTATTTAGCGTCTAGTTACATGCTCGTTGCCCCCCGGAGCGTCCTTTTGGTTATACCCTTTCCATTTCCCCTCAGTTTTTTTTGTTGTCGTCGTCGTCGGATGCACAGAGCACCGCAATTACAGAGTCCATATAGCCCAGGTGATGATTGGTTTACACCGGATGAATATGCAAGTCCACTCCTGACTTCGTTTTGCCTCGAAACCGAATCGATTGTGAGTTTGTAAGCACTCGAACAATTGGATTAGTCTGGAGTTTTTATAGGTGAGTTAAACGCGGTTTTATGGGCAGGATTTTGTTCACTGAAAAAGGGTTTTTTGGGGGTCTTTTGTATCTCCCAAAAAAACACGATTTTCAGGAACATTTTCGGTTTACATAGATATAAACCATTGAGTTGTAATATGAGAGGGTGATATAGATATTCCTCTAGTACGAGATACATTTTATTTCTGTCACCTTTTCTAGAAATACTAACGATTTAAGTAATATATCTATTTTATCTATATCGTACTATTGTCTAAAGTGTTCTATAGTTTAGATATGAGATGTTGTTCCCATAAATTATGTATATTAAGACTCTATTTCCAACTACCTAGGAATGTATGGTTTATATCCTTAAATATGACCCAAAAATATCTCTCTAAATAACTCCTCTTTCCTATATCATTTTCATTTTTTGAGCATATCCCATTATTATCCCTTGTTCCTTTATCGCTGGCAAATGAAAATCGTTGCTAGGACTAATTGAATCGATGGACCATGTGGAGTGGATTAACTAGCTTTCGAATACGAGCTACCCCAGCCGCAGGGATTCGATTGAGTTTGAGGTTTCCGCATTCCGATTTCGATTTCGATTTGTATTCCTATGGCGTATATATACCAAGGTCAGTGGTATTTTGTATTATTTTTCGGGGATGGACATTTTTTTTCTAGCCACCCCCGTATATATGTTCTATGCTCTGTGCAAAGTACAAACTAAAACAGAAGTGCGTTTCCCAAAAGAGCACTCAGAAAAAAATATATAAATAGTGATTTGGAATAAAGTAAAATGATATATTTTAAATATACCTTAACTTCAAAACTTAAAGTTCTTTGAAACTTTTCATTTCTTACTAATTTTCTTATTTGATTAACTTTAAAAACTGGATCCAAGTATGCCATGGAATGCTTTACGACCAACTGTCAGTTGTAGTGTATGGAACAGCTTATGGAAATATTCAGTTTATTCAGATCTCTCCTAGGAACAGGTTCTAACAAAATTCAAAAATATAAAAATTTCTTGGTAAACAAAAATTCAAAATTCTATAACCGAAACAAAATTTGTAGGTAAAAAAATTTCTTGGACAAAAAAAACAAAATAAAATAATGTTCGGACAAAATCATTTCAATGAACCATTAGTACGTATTCGAGTGTGAAATTTCGCGCTTTCTTCTTGATCAAGGATTTCCCGTGTCTTCCTGTAGATAAACACCTGTGAGATGTATCCGCGTCGGAGGCCCACGGAATTCTATCGCTCTCCAGACCCACGACCATCGATCCAAAGTGTGATGGCGGAGCATCCGAGGGATAAGCTTGACTCTGAAAGTATCGACCAGATGCCCGATCCTCCACTTCCTCGCATCCGGCCACCACGCACCTCGGCAACGGATTTTATGCGAAATAATTACTTTTCGTAATGGAAATAATGGAGATTTAACAGAAGGGAACATGGAACCTATCAAGAATCGAATGTCCTGCTTGTTGGTTTGGTTTACAGAGTGTAAGAAGTGCAACAGATCAGAGGATGAATGCAGTATTTGTAAGAAAGTAAAGAAGAATCGTTCAGAAGAATTCAAAGATTGATATTGGATGTTTTATGGCAAGACAGAAGCGTAATGTGTTGAAACACTTGAATACTTGTCCAAATTGAAATTGTATGGGACTGACTGGCAAGCAGACGAAAACTTTGGAAAACAAAAAATCATCACTTCAAAAACAATTTGCAAGCATGGTTTTTACATCGTGATATAACCCTCCTTTTGTGCAACGCATCAAGAATTTACCTAAAGGCTTTTGGTACATTGGAACCTACATACCTACCTACCTACCTTTTGACTTTTGGATATACCTATTCGATATGAAAATTAACGTGTGGCACTTTCAAGACAGACTTTATCAAGAGAATTTCCATATTCTCACATTCCTTTCATATAAATGGACAACTCTGTATTCAATTTATCAAAACGGATTGTAAAGGAATTGCTTACTTTGTCTGCGTGTGTCATACTCCTGTATAATTTAAAATATATATATATTTTTGATACATACTCTAAAGCAATTCGTGTTTTTCTTAGTGCATCAGCGATAGCAAGAAACTAATAATTAAATCGACAAATGAATTCACACCCTTCAAAGTTCAGATCGTGTTCTGGCCAAACAGTTTTTCCATGCTAGGGGGAAGTTTTCACTATGTGTTCTGTTTAGTTTTCCCCCTTCCCCCAAAGGTTTTAAGGGTGTCGAATCCACAAGAAACATTTCAAGGCCATTGACATCGGTCACTCTCTCTATTATCCCAGAAATGGGAAATCATTGATGCGATCCGATTTGTCTTTGGGTTTCCTTCCTTCGGTTTCCTGTTCGCTGAAGGCCCTTGACTGGATTTCATTCGATTTTCAGTTGGCTAAACTTTCACAAAAGGTGGTTTGTGTGGGGGAGTTTTCTTGTATTTGATTTGAAATAAAAAAATTAGCACAAAGAATATTGGGTCAATACTATATCATGTAGAGGATATAGTAAATTAGTTCGTGACATTTATAAGCCAGAACTTTGTACACTTTTGGAAAGGCTTCTAGTCACTTTAGGTCGACTCACCTGGAAGCAAAATATCACCTTTAAATACCCAATAAAATTAAATAAATAATTTATATACACCAAGTGACGTATGTCATGATTATTGGTTCTCCTAAATAATTCATTTGTTTCCAAAATAATCAGAAAAAAAACCTGACAACCTGTCTCTCCATCTGTCAGTCTGTCAGCTGTCGGACCACGAAACTATCCAATAAAATGATTGACAAGCCACGGGAAACTCGAGTGATGCTAATGCTCTCCAGACAGAACGATTTTCCCCCAGTTTCGTAAGAATACTTTCAATGATTTTGCAACTCCACAGGAAAATCCGGAAAAGCATCAAGGAGAAAAGCACTAGCAAATGAGCCTCAACCTGGGGGGTGTAGGGTGTATGTGTGAGAAGACCACTTCCTGGACACCCCTCCCTCTCTCTCTCTCTCTTTTTTAAGAATAATTTCGCTGATTCTGCAACTGCCTCTGCCACTTTTACATGCACTGAAACAATTTACAGAGGGCAGTCCATAAATTTCAATTAAGCAAACAACTGCTAGCCCATTCCCTTCGCTTTTCCCTTTTGTAGCTAGTGGGGGAAAACCATTACTTTTTTTATTATTATTTTTCCCGCCTGCCGCCAGTCTGCTTTTTGTTGTAAATTCCTGTAAACAAACGGTTCGAGATCTGCGATTTACGATTGCATTGCAAAATGGCCCCGGCATCGATTTTAATTTAGCTCTGGACACAACACACACACAAGTTGTGGTAATTGGGAATGTAGTCAAAGGGTTATTACCAACTCCAATTCTATTTTAAACTATATTTAAGGGAAATGAATCGGTTAAGTATCTATACTCAACTTAATAAATCAAGAATCGTTCTATATCCTGCTTGTCAGTGTGGTGTTTGGAGTATAAAAAGTTCTAAAAATCAAAAAAGAACAGATCTGAAAATTTAAACATTTCTAATAGTTATAAAAATACATAAAAAGGGAGCTTAATCCTCTGAATTCAACGAATTCTTGACTGCAAATAACCATTGTGCCCAGTATATTACATTTTCTTGTGTTCTTGTATTATTTTTCATCTCGCTATAGGATCTTAAACTTTATGTACACTATCACACTTTGTGCAAGTCATTTACCGACCTTAAGTAATTAGTCAGCAGACAGCATTTCGCGTAACAAAGTTTTCCCATACAAGAATTATGAAATTCATAATGTTCAAGTGGCATTTTTTGGTAGCATGTTTAGTGCAGTTGGCAGTGGGAGCAGTGAGTCCCTCCCCTTTAGCTAGAGAATGAAATGAAACCTCCCCCGGTTATGATTCATATGAATGACTACAGTGAACTAAATATTAAGTGACTTCATATATAGGACACACCCGGAGTCAGCGCTAACAGGCGGGGTCACAAGAATAGTCTTTACTTTTGGGAACTAACAGGAGAAACTATAATGATGAGGAACCGTGGGTTGGAATATTATTAAGAATTTTATATGCCCTTGCAGTTTGCAGTTGAATTATAAAATTTTAGTCGGAAATCGATAACTAAGCTTAAAATACTCGCATTCTTTGAATATTTATAGATTTTTTAATGTGAACATTTTTTTCCAACAATTCCAAATTTAAAAACCGCATAACTTTGTCAAAAATGCCTTAATTTCAATTCAGAAACCGTTCCTATGTTAGTTTTTATTAGGTTAATAAATCTGCATACTCAATTTAAAATTTAAAAAAATCAACATTTTTGTCAATGTTGACAATTTTAACGATGTATCCCCTTATAAAATATTGAAAAAAATTTTAAAATTTTGGTTTTCTGCCTCAGATAGCTGGAAAGATTCGCCTGTTGATGCTGATCAAGAATATATATGGTTTATAGGGTCGGAAATAACTCCTTCACATCTTTATAAGCTTCCAACTTAAATTATAATACCCTTGCAATAGTTAAAAAATACACAGGAAACCCTATCAAAACTTAATTTCTTCTTTCCAATATAACCTTCTCTTTTTTGATTTTAAGTCAATCGTTCTATTAATTATTTATTCATTCATTAATGCATTAATGACTCTTATTATTATAAAAACTCCTAGTTATTTAGCTTGTCCAATGTTATATCTAAACCAGTTGGAACTTTACCAACTACAGCTAAATAATAACAACTAGTATGTGCACCTCAGCTGTTCACAACACCTCGATATATACACATTTCTATATATTGGGTGGGGGAAGTTGTGCGGAAAAGCCACCCTCGCAGTCAGAAAAATGCCTCACGGGAGCACACACACACCGTTGCGTTGAAGCAATTTCATTTTCGGTTGGCCTTTGTTGCAGGACAAAGAAACGAGTCCTGGGGAAGTATTTCCATCACCGTAGCCCTGCCTATATATTTTCCAATCAGGAAACTATAGCACAAAACTAATGTCAAAAAGGGTTGGCAAGCGATCACCGAAATTGAAATCAAAATCTCACTTTCCTTTTCCGATCGAACAGAAAACAGAAACCAAAAGCTAATTTAATTTTGCATCTACAATTTCCCCGAGTTTTCCCCTTGGATTTTTCATGATCTGTATTTTTTATTTGCATTTTGAGGCTGCTGCATTTCCGGCATTTGATTCTATTTTCAGGAACTGTTTGATGTCTGGAAGCGAGGCGAGAATGTATATACTTTGAAGATCTAGCGAATATTTATGTTTATGTTTGGATGCAGAAAAGATATAAAAATTTTAGCCACTTGTTAGGTGTTTAATTAGCCCAACAAACTTGTATTTTTAAAGTTCTAGCTTGGTTTTGTTCTGCAAAAAAATAAGAGGTAATAAATGTAGTGAATACTTTGCTCTCCATTAATTATCATTAAGAAACCGGAATAGGTTATAGAAGCCTTCACTTCTGTTTGCATATTTTTCTGACTCGATGATCAATTAGTCATTGGGTTAATAAGCTCAAGCTCAATCGTATGCGCACCTAGGTTAAATGGTTTGTAATTTAATTTATGCACATTGTTCAAGTCAAATTGGGTTGTGGAAAAATAAAAGAAGGTTGTGCTGCACTTAATTGTCATCCAACAACGGAATTGTTTTCCTCCTGTTTTCCCCCCACACTCTAAAAATTCCATTTCGAGCTGTCTGGAACTAAGGAACTTTTCCCTGGTTCCTGGTTCCTGGTCTTGTTGCTGTTACGGTTGACACGTGTCCTGGACAAGGAATGGGTGTGGTTATGGTTGTCCTATCTGCGTTGTGCATCTGTGAACACAGTCCTGCATTTAATTGCCCAGCACTTCCACCCCCTGGATAATTGTTTTTAATACGTGACATAATTTTCAAGATTTTTAAGGCTTTCTAATTTCATAAATATTCAAAGAAGAATTCAAGGAAATATACAAAATATCAATGAAATCATTTGAAATATAACTTAATCACTCTTTGAACTTCCACTTTGATCTTGATGGCTCTCTTTATATTTTTTTGTTATTATATTTTTTAAATGCCTGCATGGCTGTTGTACTATTCGTGTTTATTGTCTCAACTGGAGAGACGTGACTTATGGCCACCAGCGATGGAATATTAGTTAAGATTGTATGTGACCGAATGGCAAATATTTCTGGCCATTTATCGGTACAATATATGGCCAACAACAACCGGTAGAACAACTCGGACAACTAAAAAACCATTTGAAGGGGATCACTCTTGGTAAACAATTGAACAGAAATCGGATCGGTTGAAAATGGAGCTCTATATATACTCGATAGCCGTTACGCGTCAATAATTTTGCCAAACAAAATAATACAACAACAACAACAACAACAACATCAAAAAATAGTACAAATAGAATTCTTCAATGAAAAATGAAACCGAAAACCAGTTTAGAATTCGTGTCGAGAATCGTAACAAAATAATTAACAAAACAGTAATAGAAATTGCAAGCAAGTAAGCTTGTAAAAAAAAAAGTATTAAATAAGCAAGAAAGCAATATCTCTGGGCATGCATTATATAATATTTATGAAAATCGAATTCGTGCCTAACTGCGAAAGGCTAATAACAATTAGGAAAAAAAATGCAAGTCTTACTGATTTCATCACAAAAAATAAATAAAATTGGATGCAACGAAAACGTTATGCAAAGCACCAGAAACGTAACCAAATGTGGCACGAAACATCAATTAAAATATAAAATTAAAATATAAAGAATGTAGAATGTGAATCCAATATTCCTATATTAATTCTTTAAATTTATTTTGGCAATATACTGCAAACTTCCTATTCCTTTTACAATTTATTGAGTTTAATAGATAAATCTCTTAACGATTTCCTGAGGGTCTTTGTATTCCATGAACAATACCAATGCGAAATAATTAAATTTTATTAACATGGGAAAATATCAATGGCACAGCGTGAAGAATAGTGAAGATGAGTCTGGGGCTTCAAGTGATTTTCATGTGGGTGAAATGTGAGTAAATGTGGGATAACAAATATTAAATAAATAAGTAAATAACTCGTGTCTATGTTTGCGGAGTCTTGCGGCATTGATTGCAATGTGGGCAGTTGATAAAATACATAAAGCACATTTTTTTGTTTCCAACAGAGGCTTAAGAGCATTTCAATTTTCTATTGTATCCTCAATTGATACTACTACTTATTAAAACATCAAATTCTAAGAAAACATTCATGGAACATATACGATTTTGAAAAGGTGTTCGGTATACATTACTTATAAAGAGAAGTCGGCTAATTCACAGATTTAAAGATATAATTTTGTAAAAACTAGACTTAAATTCAAAGGAAAGATCTTTAAAATGTATGATTTTGGAAAAGTATTTGGTATACATTATTTATAATTAAATGGGAAACTAACTTCGGAAGCCGAAGTTTATATAACCTTGCAGATTTCAATTGAATTTTTTTTCCTTAAATCCATATTTATTGATATTTTTATATGACAATTTTCTCAATAAATCACTGTTTAAATATCTTATAACTAAGCCAAAAATGCATTAATTTTAATTCGGAAAGCGTTCCTAAGCTAGTTTTTAATAGGTTAACAAATCTGTTTACTTAGTTTTGAAATTACAAAAATTTTAATTTTGTGCCAATTTTGAAAATTTTAACGATGTAACCCCTTATAAAATTTTGAAAAAATTAAAAAAATATTTTTTTCTCCTACATGGCCAGAAAGATTCGCCTGTTGATGCTGATCAAGAATATATATGATTTATAGGGGCGGAAATGACTCCTTCACTTCATTTTAAGCTTTTGACTAAAATTATAATACCCTGAGAGGATATAAAAACCACTCTTCTAAGGATTTGAATTCCTCTTTCACAAAGACAAAACTATGGTCTTCCTTGGATTTCTAATTGAATTTTTGAATTAGGCTTTTAATATTTTACTTCCAGCTATGATTTAAAAACAATAAACTCAATAAATATAGGATTTTAGATATATTAACAAGCAAAGGTTTGGTTGCTATTAAGCCAACCTGTGTAGTGATTTTTTGTTGTTGTGTTTTTAGCCGTTTCAAGACACTCACTCACCTTTAGGGTAAATGCTGCCAGTAGCGCCAGACTCCAGAGCCAGCAATGTTGTGGAACGGCTTTCTGCCTTTTGAGTCGGATTCTGGTGGTGGCCTTACTTAGCTGGTACAACATCTTGGGGCCGTGGTTGCGTTGCTCCCCTCTCCGCTCCTCTCTACTGGATTTTTTGTAGTTGTTGCCGCTGTTTTTTCCCCTTTTATTTAGTTGTTTTTATTTTGTATTTTCTGCGTTATTTAGCCAGTATTTTGTGCGATTTTTGGGCTTTGGTTTTGGGTTGGTTTTGCTAGTTTCTCTCGATTTCGGGGCTTTGCAGCGCGAGTTTAGTCTTTACTTTGATTAAATGCATTGTTTTTGCAATTATCTCGTCGTCAACGCGGCTTAAAAATTCGATTCAATTGATATTGCCGGAACCGGAACCGAAAACACTTGTCAATTTCGATTTTTTAACATTTATTTAACATATTTTTTATGTGTAGAATTCTGCAAGAGAAAGAGGATTTAGAAAAACAAAAAAAAAACCTGAAGAAACTGAGGGAGACAACCGATTTTCTGTCTCCCTTTCCACCTGTTCAGCTTCTCTCTTATTCTCATCTTCTCCAAGCTTTTGCATATTTTTTAATACATTTTTTTCTTTACTTGTTTTTGTGTTTCTACATTAAGAGCTTTGGCTTTGAATATATATATATTTTTAAGGCTTTTTTTAAAAGCAAAATACTATTACATTTAACATAGAAAATGTATTCAATACAAGTATAAGATATTGACTGTAAACTTCCATACATTTGTAGATATTTTATTTAATTTTCAGCCATTTATTTAATTTAAATCTCGAGCATCTTAAGTGCTAATTAATTGCACTGCCTTGTGCAGTGCCAAATAATAATAAAATAAATGCTGATCAACAATTTAGCCTCCGCTGACGTCATTGCAAAATTTAAACGATAGCAACGGGCCAAATAAAACAAAATAAATATCAAAAATAAATAAAAACTAAAAGCCAACAAAAACCTGTTTTGCAGAAATCAAGACGCTGCACGGCAAATAATATTTAGTTATATTAAAAGCAAATAATAATAAAATAAATATCAAAAAACTTCGTTTAAGGTCTGAACTTGTATTTTCCATATCTTTTAAAATGTTCAAGTCTTTACTATAATTTCACTTATTTTTTTTCAGTGTAAGCTACATGAATTTCATGTCCAATTTTAAATTTCTTCTTTGGTGAATTTTGCAGTTTTAATTTTTTTTAGGTTTTAGTTTTCCTTCGCTTTTATTTTTTGTTGAATTTTTTAATTTAAAATAAATTAAGCCTTGATTTGCCTTTATTTTGCGTGTATTTATTGTTATTGTTGCTATGCAAAAAAGACCTTCAACTTTGTGGCAATAAGAGAGATTGAGTGAGCGACCAGGCCGAAGAGAGAACGGACAAGAGCACGGATCAATTGGACTGATCTTTCGAAAGAGAGGGGGAACAAGTGAATGAGCGAGAGCTTTGCTTGGCAAGGCAATAAACAAAAACAAAACAAAACAAGTTTTTATTTATGTATATTTCTTCACAATTGAGGGCTTAAACACGAATGTGGGACAAGTTTCTTTGCGTGTTAAACAAATTAATATTGATTAAATAAGAGCTTCTTTCAAAAATCAGCGAGCGAGAACCGGAAGTGGAGAAATTCGAAAGGCAGAGGCTGCGAGGGAGGCAGAGAAAGCAGAGGCATGCCAAAAAAAAGACAAAAAAAAACCACCATTCGATGCTATGCGTAGGTGTTGCGCTCTCCCTCTCGCACTCTCTATGTCGCTCTCCCTACCCGTCTGTCTGTCTGTCTCGTTTTGTTATTGTTGCGTCGCACGCACACTTACACACACACAGCCATAGACACCATCAAACAACTCTCAATTTCTGCTTTTACTTTAAGCTTCATTTCGGCATTTCTTACTTTTTTCCACTGCACCGACGAAATTCATGCGTGTGTACAAAAAAAACGAAATTCAACACTGCCACCATAACAAAATCATTTTAAAACATTCACGTAAACTTTGTGTATTATTTTTGTATATTTTTTTGTTTGAAACCGTCGCCGCGGGAAAAAATAACAAAAACCGACGTGGAGCTCGCGTCCAATTTTTTCGCAAAATAAAAATTTCCGAATGGCTCACTTGCGCTTGTATTTATAGGCTTTGCCAGAGCCGAGCTGAGCCGAACCGATCCGAACGTTCCTATTGGAACGTAAAGGAGTGACCAGATACTAATGTGACCAGTAAAAACGTGGCAACGCTGCACTTAATCTTGAATTTGACTAGTCGGGAACGACATCGGCCACACTGGCCCAACAGCTGTTGGAAGAAGAAGAAGCAGCACGTGTTGATTTAAAAGTGTTTTTTGATTCTTAACTAAAATTTAAATATATACTTCAAGCAGAATGACAAAACCGACGCCGAAAGAGCGTCCCAAGCAGATGACCAAACGCTACTTCGACGTAGAGAAGGCCACCGACAACGATGGCGGCGGCGTGGAGCACGTAAAAGTGAGGCGCAAAAGTCAACAGAACTTTGTTGGCGACTTCATCAAGATGCAGAACAAGCCAAAGCGGAAGCCGTCTTCACGTCCACCGTTCGCGAAGAAGGCAGCTCAGCCAGCTGAGCCCCAGCCCAAGAAGAATCCCATTCCGCAGGAGCTAATGGACAAGTACTCGCGCGGCGAGAAGGTGCTGCCAAAGGGTGTGAAGACGCGCCACTTCAAGGAACAGCAGACGCGCAAGGAGGTGTACCTCGAGTATGCCACCGAGCAGGCGGCGCGCACAGAGCTGCTGCTGCGGGAGATCCCCGGCCAGCTGGAGCCGGACGAAGGCGAGACCACAGCCGAATTGCGGCAGGCGGAGCTCGCTGGGCTTGTGGACTTGCAGTCGGCGACTAAGCACTTTAGTTTAAAGATGGAGCATGGCCCCTACCACTTGCGCTACACCAAGAATGGACGCCACCTGCTGCTAGGCGGACGGCGTGGTCACGTGGCCGCCTTCGATTGGGTCACCAAGCGGCTGCACTGCGAGTTTAATGCGATGGAGACCATCGAGGATGTGCAGTGGCTTCATGTGCCCACCATGTATGCCGTGGCTCAGAAAAGCTGGGTGTACATCTATGATAACAAGGGCACCGAGCTGCACTGCGTCAAACGTCTGGCGCGTGTGAACCGACTGGATTTCCTGCCCTACCACTTCCTTCTGGCCGCCGGAAACTCCGCTGGCTACGCCTCCTGGCTAGATGTCTCCATTGGTGAGCTGGTCGGCAACTTTAACACCGGCTTGGGTGATATTCGCAAACTGTGCCACAATCCCAGCAATGGTGTCCTTTGCATCGGCGGCGGTCGCGGCGTCGTCTCCATGTGGTCACCCAAAGTCCGTGAGCCGCTGGCCAAGATGCTATGCCACTCCACATCCATAACTGCACTGACGGTAGACCCCAGGGGCCAGTATTTGGTCACCGCGGGCCTAGAGCGCTCCGTCAAGGTGTGGGACGTTCGGATGCTGGTGCAAGACCAGCCGCTAACTCACTTCCAGCTGCGCCTGCCCGCCAACGAGCTGGACGTGTCGCAGCGCGGAATGCTGGCCCTGTCCCAGGGCACCTACCTGGAAACATATGCCGATATATTGTCGGGCGGCGGCACCGGGGACTCCACGAAGCTGCCCTATCTCCGCCAGCGCTGCGATGCCTTCGTCAATGGCGTGCGCTTCTGCCCGTACGAGGATGTGCTCGGCGTGGCCACTGCCAGTGGCTTCCAATCTCTACTAGTGCCTGGCTCCGGGGAGCCCAACTTCGATGCCATGGAGGATAATCCGTACGAGACGTCAAAGCAGCGGCGCGAACATGAAGTGCATGCACTGCTCGAAAAGATTCCGCCCGAACTGATCACACTGAACCCCCACGAAATCACGGGCGTGGATGCGCCCACGCTGCAGGAGAAGATTGATGCCAAGCGAAAGCTCTTCCATGTCAAGGCGCCGCGCATCGATATGAAGATGCGGCACAAGATGAAGGGACGCGGCGGCTCCGCCAAGGCGGCGCGAAACAAGCAAATTGTCAAGGATGCCAAGCGCAAGGTGAGTTCCTACCAAATTGCATCTCAAAAGGGTGATTCTAATGAAGCCTTATGCTTATGTACCCGCAGGAATTCATTGCCGAGGTGCGTCAGGCCAAGGCAAGCGTGTTTAAAGAGCATGGAGAGAAGGACAAGGCAAAGGCCAAGGCACCGCGCTCAGTGCTGGATCGGTTTAAGCCAAAGGCAACGAAGAAGCGCAAGGCCTAAGCATGGACAGGAGAAGCACATAATGTACACATTAAACTAATATATAATTTTTTTGGAATTAGCTTTAGTTTATACTTTAATAGGTCAACAAGTTATTACAACTTATAAACTAATGATGCTTAGCTTAGTTTTTCTCCAAGAATACCTAATCATAGGACAACACATCCTTTAGGTAACCGGCAATCCGTTGACTCTCCGCCTGCTGTTCCAGCTCTTTAAGGGCCCGATCCAACTGACCTTTGTCCAACGACCTAGCATAGTAGAAGAGGTTTAAGATGCGCTTCTGACTCTCAAAGCGATCACTCGCGTCATTGTCTCCCGTGACATGCAGGTTTGGCAGATGACTGATCACCTGGCCGGCGGACTGAATCAAAGCCTCCATGAAGACAACGTTTAGCTGGCGACAGAGCGTGGCCATGGCCAGCAGCGTACCCTCACCCACAGTTGGCTTGAGCAGCAACACGGGCAGATAACCCAGGAAAGCGGCGAATCTCGTGGCGCCGCCGTAGCTGGCGTACAAATTTGAACTCTGAACGATCTCGCACAGCAGGCTCAGCACCCGGGTGGCCACGCCCTCGCGCGTGGTGAAGCGCTGGCCCACATAGGCCTCTATTGCAGCACTTAACAGGCTAGTCAGGGAGTCCGCTGCGACGACCAGCAAGAGCTTGGCATTCTCCAGGAGCAGGGCACGCAGCGATGCCACCAGAAGCAGTTGTTGTTCTGGCGGTAGGGCACTCAAACGCTCCAGGCTCTGCTGCACGTAGGAGGCGAGGTGGCCGAACAATTGGGAGTGCTTATCCCTGGGTTGCGGCAGGAACTGGCAGGTCAGCTGAACAATGGTCAGGTTCTGCGGCAGGCAGAGCTCACCACCATCCGCGGGTCCCTTGTCCTTGGCCTTGGCTGCCTTCTTTCCGGTGGCAGGAATCTGCTGGTAGGGAAACCGGCTTCCATCCTTGGCCAGGAAGTTGAGCAGGAACTTTTGCGCATAGTTTGTCCGCATCCAAGTGCTTAGCTCCCGTGTGCTATGGTTGACCTCGTGCTGGTGAATCAGTGTCCAGAGGAGACTCATCAGACCCACCACCACGTGCAGACTAGCCGCTGCATCCTGGGCGAGCAGTGGCTGTTGCGGCTGCGGTCGCACCTCCAGCCAGTTGTCTTGAAGCAGAGGCATTAGCTGCTCCAGGTATACCTGCAGCTGGCTGCCCTCGGCACTCAGCTTCGACTCGTTGAGGATGGCGTGCAGGTCGCGGTTATCCTGGTGAAGGGGACATAGCACATTGTAGTACTGCGGCCGCATCTCTTCGAAGTGAACGACGCGAACTGGGGCTGTAGTCTTGGAGCTCTTGTGTAGCACCAGGGTGCTAAGGATCTGCTGGAGACGGATCAACACTTTGGTGCGCCACTTGACCGTCGTCTGCTTGCCCTGGCCGAGATTGAGCGTTAGTGTGCGGTTGGAACGCTCGTTGTCGTGCCGTGAGCGGGAGATCATGTCGATGAAATTGCCGATGATGACGCTGGCATTCCGTTCCGCCAGCAGCTCGGGCGGCACACGAACCAGCAGAACGTCCAGCATCAGCAGCGAATCCTCCTGGATGGCGGGCAAGACATGGGTCATCGCGCAGCGCAGGTACGTGGCAATAACGTGGAAGAACGGTGCCACAGCCGATGGCTGCAGGGCCTCCAGCAGGACATCGAGTGTCTTGAACGACTCCTGGCGCGCCGACTGCTCCATGTCCAAGGCGCCGGCCGCAATGCCCTGGAACAGGGCGTTCAGATGACCAATCAAGTGATCCGCATTGCCGGCCTTTAAGGAGTCCCGGATATTTCGCAGTGCATCCGTGCGGAACTTAACACTGTGGTGCTTCAGACGTGACAGTGTCTCCTTCAAATTAAACTGCCGCTGGCCCGTTTCCGTGTAGGAGGACTCCTTCAGCTGCTCCTGGATTTGGATCTTGCGCACCTTGAAGTCCGTCTTCGTGACGTTGAGGCCCTTGGGCAGCTTGGCGCCCTTCAGCTTCACCTTGGCCTTCTCCGCTCGCAGGTTCTTTTTGTGATGGCCTCCCATTTTCAGCCGGATTTAGGGCTTTATAAAAAAAAAACAATGGAAAGTCGAAAGACCCTGAATTCAAACACAAAACATGTGCGCTGTCTTCTTCTTGCGCTTACAGTGTTGCCAGACCAATTCTTTTCGTGTATAACAAAAATATGTGCTTACAGTGTTGCCAGACCAATTTATTTTAGTGTATAACATAAATATGGGGCTACAGAATATTCAAGAAAGTTTCATAATGGCTTTAAATATTAAGCATTCGGTTATTTAAAACATGAAAGATTAATACAATAATATTTATTATCTGTTCGCCCTTGGTGCTGCCAGATGTCTCGCAGTTTGGATTTTACCGCCGCCATGGCACGGTCACACTGACGCACACAAAACTCGCTGCGCGAAAAACATTTGCAAAATCTTAATGCAATTCGGCGCGCTTTTGCTCATTCCTAGCAGATTACAGACAAATAACCGGCGGCCAGCAGCCAGCATTTCTCCATGCGGCTCCTCAAGCCGGGCTGGGTGCATCATGATGGTGAGTTGACGACGTTAGCCAGTTTAACCGGCATAAATCCATCCCGCCTTTGGTCATGAAATGTGTGTTTACCCGCCCCGACCATGTTTTTGTGCTCTTCTTTCCCGCAGACAAACAGATATTCTCGGTGGATATCCATCAGGATTGCACGAAATTCGCCACAGGTGGCCAGGGCAGCGACTGCGGTCGCGTTGTCATATGGAACATGCTGCCGGTGTTGTCGGAGAAGGCCGAGCTGGACCCGGACGTACCGAAGATGTTGTGCCAAATGGACCAGCACCTGGCCTGTGTCAACTGTGTGCGCTGGTCGCAGAATGGCCAGAACCTGGCCTCCGGGTCAGACGACAAGCTGATAATGATTTGGCGCAAGAGTACCGGCTCCAGCGGTGTCTTCGGCACCGGCGGCATGCAGAAGAATCACGAGTCCTGGAAGTGCTTTTACACGCTGCGTGGCCATGACGGCGATGTCCTAGATTTGGCCTGGTCACCGAATGACGCCTATTTGGCTAGCTGCGGCATCGACAACACGGTGATCATCTGGGACGCCCAGGCGTTTCCGCATTCGGTGGCCACACTCAAAGATCACACCGGTCTGGTTAAGGGCGTCTCCTGGGACCCAGTTGGAAGGTATCTAGCCTCACAGTCGGATGATCGCAGTATCAAAATTTGGAATACAATGGACTGGTCTGTGACATACTCAATAACCGAGCCGTTCGAGGAGTGCGGTGGCACCACGCACTTTCTGCGACTGTCTTGGTCACCGGACGGCCAATATCTGGTCTCGGCGCATGCCATGAACGCCGGCGTGCCCACGGCACAGATCGTGGAGCGCGTGGGCTGGAAGACCGAAACGGACTTTGTGGGACATCGCAAGGCGGTGACCTGTGTGCGCTTCCACAGCTCGATCATGCAGCGCCCGGCGGCCGGAGGCAGTCCCAGCAAGCCCCTACAGTACTGCGTCCTGGCGGTGGGCTCACGCGACCGCTCGCTATCCGTCTGGATGACGGCGCTGCAGCGGCCCATGATTGTCATCCATGAACTGTTCGATGACAGCATATTGGACCTGTCCTGGGGCCCCAAGGAGTGCCTGCTGATGGCCTGCAGCGGCGATGGCACCATAGCCTGCCTGCAGTTTGCCGAGGAGGAGCTGGGCAAGGCTATTACGGACACGGACAAGCATACCATCTTCCAGAAAATGTATGGCCAGGCATATGGCACTGGCTTAAGCCGCCAAATGGCCATGGATCATCCGAAGCGACTGCTGCAGCCTCTGGGCGCTGGACCACCGCTCCTGGAGGCCCGGCCCGTCAAGTTCCCGCTGAGCAACGAGTCCCCCCAGCGACCCATTAGCAAGCAAACGGAAACGAGGACCAAGGACGGCAAGCGACGGATCACCCCCATGTTTATACCCCTTCACGAGGACGGACCGACGTCGATTGCCAGCAGTATGGTGTCCTGTGCCGCAAGTCTCACCTCCAGTTCGGTGCCCTGTGGCGCCAGCATTGTGTCCGCAGTGCCCACGGAGGCCGCTGCCACGCCCCGGATGCCCGAACCATTGGTTAGCAAGGTGGACCAGGGCCGTCTCGATTCCAGGCTCAAGACAATGCCCACCTCGCAGCGCCGCCAGTCGCTGCCCTTCGATCCCGGCCAAAGTGGCAGTGATCGGCCGCGTTCTCCGCGGGTGGAGGACCACCAGAGCAGCACATCGGCTGTGCCAAATCTCAATGTGACGGCCACTGGGCGCAGTGAGTTCGTTAAGGCTGCCCTCGACTACCGCCTGCATGTCCAGAATGGCCATTTGAAGACAAATCACGGTATGCTGGCCAAGGTGACCGCCTCCGATTCGAAAGAGATGCTTTGGGAGTTCTACGTTGGATCACCGGTTGTGAATTTGAATCTGTGTGGAAAATACGCCATGCTGTGCTCTCTGGACGGGAGCATGCGACTGATTTCCATGGAGACGGGCTGCCCGGTCTTCCCAGCGATCTCGCTAACTAGTTCCGCAGTCCATTGCGCCTTTGTGAGTTCAGTGGAGTCCCTAACTAAGGAAATAAGCTAAAATCGTATTGTTTTCCTTGTTACAGAGTCCGGACAACAGTTTGGTTGCCGTGCTGACCGAGTGTGGATTGCTGCGCATCTGGGATATCGCCAAGCGGACTATTAGCCTGGCTGCCGGCTGCTCGGAGCTGCTGAACAAGCACGGCGCGGCCGTCCATTTCGCCGTGACGGATCAGGGAATGCCGCTGATCGGTTTCCCCAGCGGCAACTCGTACTCCTACTCGACCAGCCTGCAATCGTGGCTGGTGCTGGCCACCAAGGATGCCATTATGTATCACGGTATTCGTGGAACACTGCCGCGGGACATGGACCAGATGGCGGAAAGGTTTCCCCTGCTGAGCATGCAGGCCAGCAGTCAAAATTACTTTTGCTTTACCGGCAGCATGGAGCTGTAAGTACCACAGGTTTTCCTTAAATTCTTGATGTAATCCTAATGATATTATCCACCTTGCAGGAGGAACTCGGAGGCCTGGCAGCAGAGCGCTAAGATTCGGTTCATTGAGAACCAGATTAAGCTGTGCGAGACCCTTCAGTCTCTGGACGAACTGAAGCACTGGCACAAGATGCTCACCTTCCAGCTGGCCACGTACGGCTCCGAGAAGAGGATGCGCCTGTTCCTGGATGATTTGCTTAGCCCCCCTGAGCCGGGTATTCCGCAGGTATGACGATATCCCTTTCTTTTTACTGCTTTGTCCATAATGCCATCTCGCTCTAGGTTGTGCCTAAGCTTGAGCTGATGCAGTGCGTGCTGGATACGCTGAAGCCGCACTCCGAGTGGCAGCGCATGTACTCCGAGTATGTGGAATTGTTGGAGGAGTGCAAGGAGGAGAACAGCAACAGCAGCAAGGAGATCTTTGCTACACCGGCTCCACCACTGCCCAAAGCTGGAACATCACCCTCTGGCTCCCCTTCTGACGGTGGACCTTCACCCAATGGCGACGAAGGGGCAGCGGCAGCCGCAGCAGGAGAAGAAACCACCTGCAAGGCAGGAGATTCGCCAACAGTCACAAGCACGAGCAAAGGCACCACAACGACAACCACCACTGCCGCCAGCAGCTCTTCATCCTCAGGATCAGCGTCAGGGTCATCCTCCTCCGGCTCCGGATCGTCCTCATCTTCATCCTCCTCCTCGTCATCCCTGTCGGTGCCACCGCCGGCTCCTAGTCTATCGCCGGAAATCCAAGTTCTGGACTCACCCACCGTCTGCATAGACGACGAACTATACTCTGCCTCTTCGTCGCTACCTCCGTTGGACACGTTTCCGGCACCAGTCTCACCCTCGTCCACATCCGGCGGAGCCACATCCACATCCCCGCCAGCAGTAGTAGCCGCAGCTGTATCAGCCGCAGCAGTTTCCAGTTCCAAAGCCGTTTCAACGGATCAGACATGAGACGAAAGACTCCTCTACTAACCCCCAGCCCCTCATTAATTTGTTGTGTGTCCCCTGTTCTTGTCCCCTAAGCTATAAGCATAAGCAGGCAGTGCTGTAAAAAGTTTTCTACCGATTTATATATATATATTAGGAACCGTCGCTTATCCTCCCCAACAACAACCCCTTCTTTACAACAATCCGCACACACACATCAGTTGATATTTGTATTTCTTTAAAGTGTAAAGCATTAAATGATAGAACAAGTTGTGTATGAAAAATATGTTTACTTGGGATCGATTTTAATCGATTTGTGTTTTTTAAATATTGAAAATTATTTACTGCTCTCAGAATCGAATCCCAACAGTTCCTCTCATACCTTCAAAGATCTCTGAAATCGAGGATCTAGAACATATCTTAACGATTTAGATTTGTACTCTATTTATTCTGCACTATAATCGAAAGTTACACTAGCGTAACAGCGTATATATACTATAATATTATAATCGGTCGCGACAACAAATGGATTGTGCGCCAACAAAGCCGTACATATGTAAATATGTACGTGTATATGTAAAGGTATATAATATCCGATTAGCTCGGCCATAGAACTTGATGTAGACTCTAAACAATATAATTACGCTGAAGGGGGATTGATTTAACCAAAAAAAGATAAACGATGATCATCCGACGACAGTTGCGGTGGCCGCAACCGCCGTCGCCTCTGGCTATTGGGCAGCATAATGCGGACCCGGCGTTGGAACACTCTTTAGGGGCGAATCGAACTCAATTGGTGGTGCCTCAATAACCGGTGTCTCCGCTGCCCCGGTGCCAATGCGCTCCTGCAGCGTCTCGTACAGCTTGTGGATGTGCTCATTGTGCGCCGTCGTTGGCTGCATGGCCTTCATCAGGGTGGCCAGTCGTCCGGCTGGCATTTTGTTGTGCACATACCACAGCAGCTTCAGCATGTGCCTGGAGGTAACGTTCTCGCGCGTCAGTCCGGCAAAGATGAACTCGTCAAAGAGGGTCGTACAGAAGTCCTCTGTGGCGAACTCTTCGCTCATTGGGATAAGCAGTGCGATCTGCAAGGAAGTGAGTTGATTTACAACAGAAAGAAAAGAAAGGAATATCGAAATGAACAGAATAAACCGTTTCGCCTTACCAGTGAGTGCAAGAAGGGATCCTCATAAGCCCGATCGTCCTTGCAGGCTGAGAGAATGGCCAGGACGCGTAGTACACCGACACGATCCTTCAGTCGTGCCGTGTGTAGTGTATAGTACATGGCCAAAATACTGGCCACAGAGCTCTCCTGTATGTACGCCTCCACGGCATCCGGCGCTGGGCCCGAGTGCTCAATGGTTGTCAACGCGGACTCGCGCTCGTCTGGCGGCAGCTTGGCGTGCAGGCTGCGACACTGGTCGTCCACCATTAGCGACATGAGGGCAGGCAGGAACTTGGTAACGACCTGGCAGTCCAGCTTCGGCTCCTTGAAGTCCTGGGAGTCGATCATCACCCAGGCGCTGAGGCCCAAGGCCAGCATTCTCAGCAGCAGGATGAGGATCTGATTGTCGCGCGGCATGCCCTCGTTATTGATCAGATGTTGAAGTATCTTGATGGCCGAGGTGGCCAGAAAATTGATGGCGTACGGATCGCACAGCGTCATGGAGAGATCACCCAGGACCTGCTCCTGGCCACGTTTGATATTGTCAAGGAAGCCCTGCAGCTCACGCGAACGCTTAATGTCCACGTTCTTCTCGCGAATGCAAGCGTCCAGGCACCAGGTGAACTTGTGACAGGGATCTATCGAGATAATCTCCTGCACCTCGAGATCGTGTAAGGCCATGAGCAGCTCCGCGCGCAGTGTGCAGTAGTGGACGTTGCGGGTACGCAGAAATAGCGTACGCAGGAACTGCAGCACCATGTCGTAAAGCTTCACGCTGGTTCCAATCATGTTGGCCAGCTTCTGCACCACCTCGCCCTGCCGCCGCACCTTGGGCGTGGGCTGGAAGAACAGATTGTTGAGGTTGGTGTGGTCAAACAGGATGTGTTCCTTCTCGCGGATATACTGCGACAGCAGCGGTGACACCTCGTCGCCGAACAGCGACTGGTTGTCGCGCCAGATCTGACGCTTCACCTCCGTGTCCGTATCTGCATACAGCTCCCGGTCACGCACAAGGATCTTGAGGTACTTGTCGTCTATGTGCTGTGTGTTGCGCAAAATGGCCATTACCACCGGCCGCAGCGACTTGACCCGCACCACGGGGAAGCTCTTCACCAGCAGCTCCTTCAGCTTCTTGTCACGCTCGCGTGGCTCCTTCTGGCCCATCTCGTTGATGTGCGCTATCAGCTTGTCCCGCAGCTCCTCCATCAGCGAGGTGTGGAAGTCCAGACGGCGCACGCCGTGCAGGTCCAGCAGAGGCAACATCGGTCGCAACGAAGGCAGCAGCACGCCGTTCTCCAGCTGCAGGTGTGTGTAAACAGGAGAAGAGTTAGGTGGAGTTAACAAACACAACGCACACACACTTTTGGCGCCCATTTCTGCAACGTAAACAAACCTGGAAACTCTCAATGGCCTTCAGGGGATCCGTGCAGGAGGTGAGGGCCTCGCGCAGGTACGCCTGGCCAGGTATGTTGACGTCCTCCAGCCCGGTTCCATTGTTTTTCGCCGGTGTGCTCATTTTTTTCATAAAACCATATACAATTCGTTCCGTCGGCTTTTTGCGTTAGAGATGAGTCTTCAAGGCATCGATTAATCGATATTTTTAGAACAGTTTTATAAGTTTAGTCAACGATAGCGACGATAGTGGCATACCTTTTATACTTGTATTTTTTTCCTTATTATTAGAAATGTATTTGGTTTATAATTTAAACTCTACGATCATAAATGTTTTTCTAGCTCTAGTTTTTGGTATAATTACCATTTTGTTGCGATGTGTATAATGTTGTGATTATATCGATAACACATACGAAACCGATACACTTTGGTATTTTTTGATGCACTCCTGTTGCGGTCACACTGCGGCATTCCCTCAAAAAAGCATCATCATTGCCTGGCATAGAAGCAAAAATTCAACCAAATATCAGCTTTTACCTTGCTTGTTAATTTAAACAAAAGATGTCCTCACGCTACGATCGTGCTGTTACCATCTTCTCCCCCGATGGCCACCTGCTGCAGGTGGAGTACGCTCAGGAAGCCGTCCGCAAGGGCTCAACAGCGGTAAGACCCGGTTTCACGAAAGCGACTCGAGTTCTGAACAAAATGTAACAAAGTTTGACTTGTCGCATAGGTCGGCGTTCGCGGTGCCAACTGCGTGGTGCTAGGTGTCGAGAAGAAGTCTGTGGCCAAGCTGCAGGAGGATCGCACTGTGCGCAAGATCTGCATGCTGGACCACCACGTTGTGATGGCCTTTGCCGGCTTGACGGCCGACGCTCGCATCCTGATCAATCGTGCACAGGTTGAGTGCCAGAGTCACCGCTTGAATGTCGAGGATCCGGTGACCCTTGAGTACATCACCAGGTAGGGAAACAGCAGCCGATGACCATTACCAACTGCCTTCACTGGTTTGGTTCTTGTTTTTCAGATATATCGCCCAGCTGAAACAGAAGTACACGCAGAGCAATGGCCGTCGTCCTTTCGGCATCTCCTGCCTAATCGGCGGCTTCGATTCGGATGGCTCTCCACACCTGTTCCAGACTGAGCCATCTGGCATTTTCTACGAGTACAAGGCCAACGCCACTGGCCGCTCTGCCAAGACTGTGCGCGAGTTCTTCGAGAAGGCGTACCGTGAGGAGGAGGTGAGCTCTGAACGTGGAGCCGTCAAGCTGGCCATACGCGCTCTCCTCGAAGTCGCCCAGTCGGGACAGAATAACTTGGAGGTGGCCATCATGGAGAATGGCAAGCCCCTCAAAATGCTGGACAGCACAGTAATTGCGGATTATGTGAAAATAATCGAGAAGGAGAAGGAGGAGGAACTCGAGAAGAAAAAGCAGAAGAAGTAACACAGCTTCGATGGCAAACCGCGTTTTGAAGTGTTTTCCAAGTCGAGCACGTTGCAAATTGTGTCCGCTCTGTTCGGCCAACTTCCTTCCTTCCGCCTGTGCACCGTTTATAAACCTTGCCTCCTGACGCTAGAGTTTGGTAGACGGCTAATGGCTTGGAAAACGCTTCAAATTCATGTTTCGGAAATCCGAAAGTGCATTTTCTTAAATTTATAATTTTTTTATTCTTCGGAATGTTGTAAAATGGTTCGAAACTATTTGATTTGTATAAAATACATACATAGTCAACCACCACACATAATATACTTTGTACTGACCTATGGAAGGTATGATATCTTTTGGTTAAATGTTTATTTATGGGAAAACTACATATTTGTTCCATTAGAATGAAAAGTATCGCTAATACTATATTGAGAACTAATGTTTAATAAGTGCTATGTCATGCCTTATTTTCCTGGAGTTGGTTAAAGTCTCTGATAGGTAATATGAACTTCTCGTGAATGTAATCCGATTTCTATATGTTTTTAATTTATTCGAAAGAGGAACTCCACTTAGAACAGCTGGGCAGCCCCATCTTCTTTAGTTGGCTCCCTAACATCAGCTGCTATTATGTCGAGCAAATAAAACTTGACAGTAATTCAATGTGCTTGTTAAATTTAAATTTAAAATACAAGAACCCTTAATTATAAAAAATTTATTTATTTAATATCTGTTAATATGTTATTAACAATTTGATTTTGAAATAGTATTTCACCAGTTCGAAGTTCCGTTAGAACCAGTGGTATTTTTTTAAACTTTGAGAATGAGTTTTTTATCCTACCTTCCATATGAATATTCAGTAATCGGCCTGTTCATTAAAATACACGTTGTGACCGACAAGGACATCTAAGTCCGATTTCTCAATGTTGAGTTAAAGCTCCAATTGATCAGATAGTTTCAATAGTAAATTCAAATTGGTTAAACACTGCTACCGTTAAACTTCCAGTATATTTCGAACGGTATTTGGCGTTTTTTAGTGCGTTCACCTATGCGCCATCTGGTATATTCAAACGCGACAGGCACGGCCACATCGGACGGGAGCTGTGAGTCGAAACCGCAAACGCAAACGCGAACGAAAACGGAATATTAGCACATCACATCACTTCACGTCGCCGTCGCTCTGCTTAACCAAGTCAAAAAACCGAAACTGAAAGCGAACCGCTTACACATCGCCCGTTGCGCTGTCCATTCTCTATCTTCTGTGCGCCAAATCCAGCGGGCCAAAATCAATAATCTGGTTGTGTGGTTTTCGCGGCTTTTTTTTTGTGTTTTCTTTCAAAAACAATCAATACCCGAAGGTAACGTGTGTAGACAAATAATAATTCACCTCAGTGTGCGTTTGCGTTCGTTGACGCTTGACATATTGGTACACATTTTATTTTTTTTTATTTTATACTCCTTTTGTTTGTCGTTTACAAATTGCATGCCAGCCCCCGAATCGAAATCGAATTCGAAATCGAATCACAAACGTAATCGAAATCCTTCCAGCATCCAAGCAAGCAGTGTACATGGGGTCATGTGGGCGGTAGGCGGGCGGCCGGGGTAACGGGGGAGGGGAGTCGGCTACCTAACCCAGAATGCACCAAAAACAATGAGCATGCAACACACACACACACGCATACGCTCACGCAGCCAAATCCATCCGCCTGTATATGTGTAAACTCTAAACTGATTTCGGCCCAGCCGCTCTCGCTAAATATAAAGGAAGAGGCGAAAAAAGAGAAATATAAAAAATGAGACACGCCAATGCTAATACCAAAACAAACACAAACACGGCTGTCGCGTGTCCCCGGAGCTCCTTCTCTCCATCACTTCATACCAAAACTCCGATCGCGCACCGCCCCCTCACACACATGCACACACATAACACTCGACGTAGGTACATAGGTACACAGGTACACCTTTCCGCAGCACATGATTCAGGCGCAGTGTACTTTTAAGTTTAGCATTTACCGCCCCATTTATTTGCCCCGGCCATAGCCACAGCCATCTGTATCCGTAGACGATCTTATCGGGCCCTTATTGACTTGTAATGTACTTTGATCGTGTCCAATCTGTCTGTCGTCTGTTTACCTTAATTGCTACCTTACACCTTTTCCGCCCTCCGATACCGATTTTTAATCACCGTACCAGGCACAGGTACGTGTACATACGTGTACTTTCGTCTAGCCGCAGTGTGAGTGCGTGCGTGCGCGCATTCCGCCCACATTAATGCCGTCACCAATTTGGCAATATCTCTTGGCCTCCCTTCTCGGCCTGCCCCATTACCTGACCTAGACAACCCCCTTAATTGACAGTCTTTAATATGCAAGCTATTTTAACCTTCTTCCGGTTGAGATTTAGTTAAGGATAAGCGAAAGGATCAATAGAAATGAAAGTGGAGCAAAGCTACAGCACCTTTGTATATTCTCATCCAGGAACTGTAGAAATTTCGAATTCAAGGATTAAAGATTAAGCTTTGAAGTTCATTATACATATCTCCTAATTTCAAATTTCATTATACGTTAGTAAAAAGGGTTGCCAATTCAAAATTTATTCAAGTATTCAGTTAAAAACAAACCTTAGGAAATAACAAAGAACCGGGAATATATAATTGTCCTCATAAAATAGTATTTTTTTAAGGCCATAAATTTATATTTATTATTCTATGCTTGTTCTCAGAAAAACACAATTTTTTGCGTTATTAAACTTCTAATAACCTTGAAATTAAATTAATTTCATTAGCAAGATCAGTGAACCTTAACTCACTATTATATTATTACGATCTTTTTATACTTTACAATTATTTGTAATTAAATGCAATTAAAATAATGCCATTATTTAAATTATGAGCCTTTCCCTTTGCTAATTAAACCTTGCATTATTTATTATAATGTAATAATTACATTTAATTTAAATATTCAAGTCGCTACCAGCTTAAGATGCAGGTTTTAGAAAGGCCTCCAAATTATTGTGATAATTCAGAGGTAATGATTAATAGACCCCCCCAAAAAAGGTATATAAGCAATATCCAAGTTGTTCCTAAGCTATAGTTGAGCCTCAAGTGAATAGAAAACAAGTATATTAACAATATCCAAGTTGCTTTTAAGCAATAGTTGAGCTTTAAGTGAATTGAAAACAGGTACATAATAATATCTAGGCTGTTCTAGGCAGGTCCCCAAACTTGCACTCAATGGGCGTAGACTTTTAGGAGCTTGTACTTTGTAACCACCAACTGCACATGACACGCTAGATCCACTGGCAGGGTGTGGTCCTGTCCCCGTTCCCATCCCTACCACCAACATATATCTATATCTAACCCATACCAATCCGAAACCCGTGTCCTCGTGCCTGCTGCTGGTGCTGCTCGGAAAGGGCTCGGGTCCTGCTCGGCATACAAAATGAAGAGGTGGTGGGTCTTGGGCTTATGTTTCGGTTTTTTGGGTTTTGGGTTTTGGGTTTCGAGCTTTGGGCTTAGTTCTTAACGCTACTTACTGTTTATACTTGCTGTTGTTAATCGTTGTTACATGTGTTTGACCCGGCCTGACACTTTCGTATTTCACATATATATAATACAATAGAATGGGCACAGAAACCAAGAGCAACAGTTACACAGGACAGATTTCAACAAGTGGCGGCAACCCCAAAGTGATGAAAGATTCTTTATCCTTAGTTCGTCAGACGGTCAATCAGCAATCGCAATCGCAATCGCAATCAAACCAGGTCCAGAACCAATTGAATTCTAACTCTAATTCGTATCAGAACGAAAGCGAAAACGAGAACGAGCCCGAACTGATTAAGCGTGATATTCGACCAAAACAGCAGGAGGATATATCCAGAAAAGAGGCGATTGTTCCCTTTGTTCCCATATTTGTTGAGGAGGCCGACGTGATACAAGGGGCCAAGGAATTGTTGAAGGTTATTCGACCGACCTGGGACCTCAGCCACGTTGAGTTTAAGGTAAGGTAAAGCCCAACCATCCATCGAAATATAAGTCCCCCCATCCTTACCACTTTCCCCTCCCCGTTTCATCACAAAAATTCCCCCATTACAATATAATTTGAAAACAAAAAAAGCAAACAAAAACAAAGAAAAACCATCAATGTCAATATGCCATGTATTCTCTACTCCATCAGATCAGTTTAGATCGCAGATCGCAGATCGTTATCCGTTGTTAACCGGACCAAATGATGATGATGATAATGACGATGTATGTTTCCCTATTCCCTATTTATTAAGATCACTAACTGGTGTGCGGAAAAAGGGGAATATATTGTTACTCTCTTAGATGCTAACACACAGTTTGTCTATACTTTTTTTTTTTTTTTCATTATTATTTGGAACGGGTTTATATTGCACAACCAACTCTACTCTGCTCTACCTTCCAATAGTAATTATATATATAAATATATACACCGCTGTTTGCTGCTAACTGCTGCCGCTGCTGCTGTTGCTGCTGCTGCTGCTGCTGCTGCTGCTGCTGCCGCCTTGAAATTTGTAAATAGACTTTATAATTTCACTGTGCGAGCCATGGGATTGTTATTTCAAATTAACATTATTTGCGCTATGGCCGTGCGAGAGCTACGAGTTCTGGGCTAGGCTAGACCCGAGACGCAGTAAAAACCAGTTTGCTAATCTAGCCTTCGAGTGGGGTGGAAACAGCGATGATGGTTCCCTACGGATACCTCCATTTTTTGGGGATCTTTCTAGGGCCTGCGTGCTGATTAATCTTACAGATTACAATCCTTATATACTATACGTATGATGAAACAGGTGCCACTGATTCGAGTGGCTTGTTAGTTATTTATTTTGTGGATCAAACAGACACACTGGTTCCTGTCTTTGTGCCTTGTTTTTCCTTTACTATTTTTTTAAGGGGCGCGATTGCGTGTGGCCCGATTTGATAACAGACGTATGATGATTGGGGTACCAAGTGTCCACAGCTATAGCTGAGGCTGTTCCAATCATATTTCCATCAAAACGGGCCGTATTCCGTCCGCCGCCTTATCGTAGCCAACTCGGTATGCCTTGACCCCGCACAATCCGTGTAGATTTGCGTGTGTATAAAGTCTAATTGGGGGTGAGCGCGCGGTGTGTACATAAATTACTTATCAGCAAACAGTTGGATTCCGCCACGGCTAGGACAGGCGGAAAAGTTTCATACTTAAGAAGTTGAGCCTATGTCGCATTTAAAGCCATCTGAAGTTGATAAAGTGCCATAAATGTTTTATGAATAAATTACAAAATAAAAACGGTTCACAATCTACCGAAATAATGTACAGGCAATAATATTATCATATACATAATGGGTTTTATAGTAGGAATAACAATTCCTAATTGGCCTTGTCCTGAAACGTAGTCAGCAATAGGAGAATCAACTGATTTCTCTAGCGATTAGCATTCACTATTGATTTAACAAAGTGTACGTTTTGCTTTTTGATGAGTCAAAGATCCTATATCTTTTCTTATCCCATGCCTCTCTGATAATATAATCCGTCTATTTGTGTTATTCAAATATACGTGTCTTTTGTACTATGAAAATTATGACCATTTAAGTCTTGTGACTTGAAGAAAATATTAAGATAGATAGATAGATTCTTTTTCAAAGTAATTTCACTTTTTGGTTTGGGTTAAAGATAAAAAATAACATCACACAATCATATACTAAAAGCTTTGTTTCTGAAAAATATATATTGAAAGTTTGAAACGAAATAATATAGAAATTAGATTAACCAACCCATAAATTAAGCATTAACTTAAGTACATTAGTTAAGACTAACCCAGTAACTCACAGATACATATTCGAAAAGAATTGTTATATATTGTCTCAAACTCAATCAAAGATCAGCGTTTGCCTTACTTTCCTGTAATCGGCATATACTTATATGCAAATTAAATTCATACACTTCGAACCCTATAGAAAAATTAGCGATTCAGCTGACATTTTTAATAAGTATTTCTATCTATCTAATAGCAGGCTGTTGTGTTGACAACAATGCAAATAACAAAATCACTCTATATAAGCAATATTAGTATCAATATGACAGGGTTTCGTCTTTAACGAAACGCTTGGCACGCAAATAGCTAATGTCAAAAAGTTTATCACCGCAATTACTACACACGTACTTCGAGTGTTGTGTGTGCGTTGTTGTTAACCTTCTCCATGTGCTGGCCGATGGTGAAAATACGAATATATGTATATAGGCAGACATATAAGTAGCAGAATGGTGGAGTCGATAAGGAAGAGGTTGTCATAAGCCTTTTATTTTGTAGCTTTTGTGAATGGTTCCGGCTTAAGAACACACATTCGTGTGAAGCAAAATCACTAAACGAAAGGCAATATATCAAGAATAGGATGTGTACCGCCCATTTGCAAGAGAAAATAAGCAAGGATACAAGAAATAGAAGGCACATAAAGCCTTTCTAGATGTTCTTTGTCTAAAATCCTATAAAAACCTTTTAGAGATACCCATCTTATTCTTTATAATTGCCTTTGCCTAAACACTCGTAATTATATCTCGTTTGGTAATAGTTCGTAATAACCTCATGTACATAAAATCTAAATAGTACAGTGTATAAATCACGTTCACGTAGCAGACGCAAATCATTAGCATTTAGTCCTAAACCCATATTCGCTCACTCACCCATAAATATATGTACATCTATTTTTGTACATATTAGCGATGTTCATAAAACTTCACATAAATGATAACATTCCTTATGGGTCTTGCTTATTCTAGAGTTTTACCGATGGCATCACAAACAAGCTGGTCGGATGTTTCCACAAGGAGAGCACCAAATTGAGCCATGAGAATGGTGGCCCGTATCTGCCGATCAAGACGCAGGAGTCCGAGGAGGAGGATACGGTCATTATCAAGAAGGATGATGATGACGACGCGGCGGCTGAAAACGGCGCACCTGTACAGTACTCCGATAACGTAGTGCTGGTCAGGATATATGGCAATAAAACGGACCTACTGATAGATCGCAAGGCTGAGACACAAAACTTTCTTCTACTGCATACTTATGGCCTAGCGCCATCGCTATATGCCACGTTCAAGAACGGTCTCGTCTACGAATACGTACCTGGAACCACCCTAAATACTGACAGTGTGCTTTGCCCAGAGATATGGCCTCTGGTCGCCCGTCGCATGGCCGAGATGCATCGCAAGGTGAAGAAGCACAGGGAAAGCTCGGCGACCAAGCCATTGCCGATGATTTGGAAGAAGACGCAGAGCTTTCTTGATTTAGTACCTGAACGTTTTAGTGATGCTGAAAAACACAAAAGGTAGGAATACAAAGGACAACTGATTAACAGATCCACTAATCAATTTTTGTCCCAATTGCAGAGTGAAAGGAACGTTTCTACCTATCAGCCGACTACGCGATGAGTTCAATAAGCTCTACGAATACCTGGAGGCTCTGGACAGTCCAATTGTCTTCTCCCACAACGACCTACTGCTGGGCAATGTCGTCTACACGAAGAGCCTGAATACGGTGAACTTTATTGACTATGAGTATGCCGACTATAACTTTCAGGCATTCGACATTGGCAATCACTTTGCGGAGATGTGCGGCGTTGATGAGGTGGATTATTCCCGCTACCCAAAGCGTGACTTTCAGTTAAAGTGGCTGCGCGTCTACCTCGAGAAATACCTTCAACGTAGCTACATTCAGAACGAGGAGGTCGAGCTGCTTTACGTCCAGGTCAACCAGTTTGCACTGGCATCCCATATTTTCTGGACGGTGTGGTCCCTGTTGCAAGCTGAGCATTCCACTATCGATTTCGATTACGTAGGGTAAGTTGTTCGACCTTTGAAGAGATTTCTAAAAATTCAGAATATACTTTCGGCTTTTGGAAATATCATTTAGAAATATGATCATGTATATGTGTACATATGACTGCAAATAACAAATATTTCCCCCAAAGATAAAGCAAGCAATTATGACGAAATTGGAATGTGAACATTGTACGATTAAAGGCTTTAAGATTTCCTCATTGTTATCAAGAAATATGCGTTTATAAAAAGGCTGATAAAGAGAAAGCAGCTTGATTGCAATCGCTGATATTTGATATAAGCGTATTCCTGTTTTGTCAGCCGCCACTTGAATAAATAGTATGTACATACATATGTGTAATGAGAATACAGACGAATTTAGATCACCTTGTACCCACAGACTTACACACTTTAAACCTAATAACTAATGCCTTTTTCATTATTCTCTTTGTCCCAATTATAGCTATGCATTTCTTCGTTACAATGAGTACTTGGCTCGAAAGGAGGAGTTTTTATCATTGACTGCGGCAAAGAACAATAAGTGATTTCTTTCTCTCTGTCTCCCTCTCTCTCTCATTGGGGGGAAAAAACTAAAATATGTGCCCAGTGATATATATGTGTAAACTAAGGCTGGAACGGAGCTTAATGTTATAAATATGTATATATATAACGCGTGTGTGTTTAGAAATCAGAAAGAAATGATATCCGAAAAGGAGTAACTACAAAAGTGTCGTGTTCTAGGGCCAGCCTTAGTGTATGTATATATAATGAATTTGTATATGTTCTTTAATTTGTATAAATTGATATTTTGTAGGCATAAATAAAACAACAACGTATGTACTTTAAACATAAACACGTATTTCAACAATATATGTACATTTTCTTAAAATGGGGTGGAAGCTTTATTATTTATAAACAATGGAAGTAGCGCCAATATTTTTTTAGAAAACAAGAACTAGAAATGAATAAACAAATTAGTCTACAACCTGGAATCCGGGATGAGTATTGTATTGTATTGGCCGTAATGTAATTAATGAACAATTTAAGCCGTTTCTATAAAGTTTTCCATCCGCTGTAGTATAGTTCTCATGAAATGTGGCTATTTTAAATATTTAAATGATTGATCTACGGTTTCGACAGCTGTTTTTTACTGATTATTTTATTAGATCATAAATATTCGGTTTTTTTTACTTATATTTTGTCTGTTGACAACCGTGAACGTTTAAGTAATAATGATAATACCCAGCAAAGATATAATAAGTGCAGTGATATATATAAATTTAAATGAATGTGTTTTTTTTTTTTTTGTTATTTACCTAAGTAAATTGAGTCAGGCGGCATGGACTTTATTCAGTGCCCCTCATGCTTAGTAAAAAATTTTTTAAAAGAAAGCTTTAAAAAATACTGCTATTAAGCTAAGTAATAATACAAATGTAATTGCAAATGGTTTACAATTTTAATACATATATAAAGTATTATTTTCGTTTATTTTTCTATGAATTTAATAAACAAATATTTTTTTTATGGCTCATCAACCAACTGTTTTTATAATTTGGTGTTTTATCTGTGTATACTGTATACTTTGGTGTTTTATCTGCGTATACTGTATACTACATACCAAAGTAAAGTTTTTTAATTCGACAGATAAAAATGGATTTACAAGAGTTTTATTTGAATTTATTAACCTTTTTACACAAACAAGTCTTTGAAAATTTATTATACGTTCTACAGATATTTTACACCGTTGTTCGGTTGCCATCTCCTCCAAGTTTTTGGACAATCTAAAAGGAAAATGGAAAAGAGATATATAAATATTGTAGACCATTTTAATTTTTGTTGCATGATCTAGAAAAATGTATAAAAAGTATTCAAATATTGTCCCATTTATGAATATTGAAAAATTAATCGAATACAATGGTTAATCGACTTCAAGACAACCCTAACGATTCGATAGTTTGGTTTATTGCATTCGATAATTCTTCTGACTCTCACCTCTAGCTGCAGCCAGCTGTCATACCTAAAAGCAAAAGACAAACGTTTCGATTTATCAAAATTTTCCCTCGTTCACCGTAAATAATGTCGGGCTACATTGCAAGGAGAGGTCCAGCGGTTTTGTGTGAGTATTATCGATGAATAGAGGAAACCCCTGGCATTTTCAACACTGAGTTGGTTAACGAGCTGTTGTGCTCCAACACTGATTACGTAAATATATAACACGAATTTTTCCTTTCAACCGCAGCCAACCTGGGACGATGGGCCTACAACCTGTCTGGATTCAACCAGTATGGTAAATAGCAGAGCACGCGATTATGTTGGGCGAATCATACAGTCGTTGGTTATTCCAGGTCTGCACCGTGACGACTGCCTGTACGAGAACGAGGACGTGAAGGAGGCCGTTCGCCGCCTGCCCCGCAAGCTGTACGATGAGCGCAACTACCGCATCATGCGCGCCCTGCACCTGTCCATGACCAAGACGATCTTGCCCAAGGAGCAGTGGACCAAGTACGAGGAGGATGTCAAGTACTTGGAACCCTACCTGAACGAGGTGGTCAAGGAGCGCGAGGAACGCGAGGACTGGAACAAGAACCACTAATTGTGCCGCGCCCACTACTCACTTTCTTTGGACTTGTAAATGTTGAAATACATAGCTTAGATTAAAACCAAAATTCGCTATGAAACCGACTTTCCGCTTGGTTGTTTAGTGAACCCGTTCCAGTGTTTATTAAGTGGGATTTCTCGTCGTGACAAGAGATGTGTGCTCGAAGAAAGTCCGTGCCGATAGCACAATGGAATGATGGTTGTTGGTGAACTTAAGCATTAAGCATGCTGCCCGCTTACCTGTTGCATAAATGGTAAATTGAAAAACGATCCTAGAATTGGCACGCGTCCAAGGAAATTTATGGCCACCGGGAAGAAGCCGCTGCAAAAGATACAATAAGTTAAAAGTATTTGTTTTTAAAGAAGAGAAGAGAAGTAAGGTAAAAACATGCTTGATTTTTATCTGGGCAGTGAGATATTAAGCTAAAGATAGTTATGTTAAATTTTTAAAAGACATATTGTCATTTCACTCATATTCAAGTAACATAGCGTTCCTGGTATGGCCTTCAAAGGTTGACACGACTCTATTTCACTCAAATATAACTAGATTGACTAAGCTAATTGACAACTAATTGTTCCAATAAGCATCGTGGACGGAATAACCTTTCTTTATGTGCGTGTAATTAAAAGATCCAAAAAACAAGGCGGCTAAATGCATAAAAAGGCGATAAAAAAGGCGCGGCAAGAAGTTTCTTAACTACGGACAGGTGAAAATGTTAATTCAAACAAAATTGTGCGAACCTAAACAGCGCAAAGAATCCATAGGACTCAATAATCATGCCAATGATGGGAAAGCCCAGCAGAACGAAGACTATTCCTCCAAAGAAGGCTGTCGTGCCCTTGACTTTGTGCCGCTGGAAGAAAAAGCGCAGGGTGCGCTCCACGCCGATCACACAGCCCAAGCCCGATATGAATAGGATCTGCGGAAGGAGAGGAGCAGCTCGTTAGTTAGCCCCATTAGCCAAGTGCGTGAGTGCGGCGTTACATACATTGCCTATAGCGAGCAAGCCCGTGTCGAACAGCAGCAGCATGCCGAGGAACAGAAATGAAATGCCGAAGCCAGCCAAGCCGATGCCAATTTCTGTGGAGAGGTTTGAAGTGTGTGCATGTGGTCAGTGGGCGAACTCGAGCCTCGTCTTGCCGTGGCGTCAACTTACTTTGCAGGTCTGTGATCTCAATCATGATGATTTATTTATTTGGTTTCGAGTAGAAATTCCACGTAAACACCCAGCTCAATTTTGAAACCCGAACAGCTGATTGCCTTTCATTCAAACGTTTCGTGAATATAAACAATCATTGCAGGGCTGCATTTACGGCAGTATTGGAAAGTGCGCGTTGGTCTGTCCATCGAAAATATTTGGCAAGAAATTCGATTTGGCACATCTCTAAATAATATTCGCAGATTTCAGCTTCAAAAACATCGGTAGTTAGTATATCGATATTTTATAAACTACATTTTTGTTTTATTTTAAATAAATAAGCAGAGTTTGACAACTCCCTTGTAACACCAATATCTTTTATATAGTGAAAATCAATTGCAGATTGAATAAATACTATATATCGTCAATAAAAAACATCGATAAAAACAAGTTTTTGCAGCCCTAACATACTGACGAAAATATCGATGTTTTCCAGAAGCTTCTTTAAACGTAAAACATTATACATTATTATTATCATTAAAGTTTGAAGCAAAATAATCATATTTCTTTGATGTTTACTATTTATCTAAATTTTAAAGAGTCAAAACTAAATGAAATGAGTACTTAGTTATTTTAAAAAATCGAAACATCGATAGTGCAAACAAACGATTCTTGAAAACAATATCCAATATCGATTGTATCGATAGTCCGATCGCCATCTTTTATTGAAAGAACTGACGCTACGAAAATCCATTTAGGAAATTTGGTGAAAAAAGGGTTTCGCTCCTGCAAATCGTGAAGTTCCATTTTTTACAAGACTGTTGCAACTGTTATTTAGACATGGATCGTAAGTACAGCCCACAAATAGCGCGTTGATGCGTGAAAATGTATGAAATATGTGCACTCTAGGTGGCGGCTATGGTGGTGGTGCCGGGCAGGGATATAATAATTTCGCTGTCCCCCCACCGAACTACCAACAACAGCCAAATAAAACTGGTAACTACAACGAACCACCTCCGAACTACAGCAAACAGGGCGGTGGTAAGATTTTAACGAAGCTCCCGACCTCGACTGGTGCTCAATCGACACATTTTTGTTTAAGGTTATGATTCCGGTGGTCATCGTGGTTCTGGCGGCGGCGGCAGTGGCGGCGGCGGCGGCGGCTCATGGAACGACAGAGGCAACTCATACGGGTATGTTATTAACATTTACCACCTAACACGGTATAGAGATCTTGGGTAGCGTTCCACGGCGGGTAACAACAGATTTATAAGAAAAGTGTACCATTAACCCTTTAATGAACCAGCCTGTTCGACAAAACCAAGCCAATGACTCGAATCAGAACATAAACAGACTGCGAAGCCTAAATGTAAAATGTGTAATGACAGAGCAGAGCAGAGCTTCCGCTTTGGCGATATTAAATTTAAATCCGATTGTGAATGTAATGTAATTCGAAAAAGAAGGTGTCAAACGACAAAGAGAGTGCGAGAAATGGCTCAGCTTAAACGGAGAATATGTAAAATCCGAGTCTCGTATGTGTGTGTCGCACTGTATTGTTTATTTTTTATGTTGCTTTTGAAAATATACATATATGCATATATTATTTCCAAAGTGCACACATGGTTCGAATTAAATCGAAATATTTAGAGGAACACAACGCTCGAAGCAACAGAATGGTTTTTAAAAACGATGCAAAATGTATCCATATGGTAAATATGTATAAAACTCGTACATCGCCTTTGGGGAAGCCGTATTGTAATCGATTCGCTGCAACTACTATTTGGTTCCAACTTCTAACACACAAACTCCGATAATTGGTCCAGTAAAACAGTGGTATTCCCTAAAAAAAGTAAAAATAACATGAAACTTAAAAGACCTTAATTAGTCGCCGATACATGTCGTATGTCATTTGCATGAACAGCTTCATTATGACAACATTCTGTCATACAAGGCATACTTTTAAAGAAAATGAATATACATAAAAACCCTTAAACTATTTAAGGATTAATTTTATGTATATGAAATAAATAAGACATCTAAAAGCGTAACTTATGCATTCAAAAGTCGAACATATTAGCTAAAAAGATCCAAACACAAATCAAAAAAGCGAAAACGAGTATAACACATGTGTATGACATGAATGATCATTATAAAGAGCATTAAAATGATAAATAAGCAAGTATATAATCTAAATAGGGAAATGTGCTGGTGGGGTTTAAAATGATATATATTTCCCGTTCATGTCTAATGATTCTTTAAGTATGTTTGAATTACAATTATGCTTTAAGTATAGCAGCTATACAGCGGTTCTCAAAATAATAAGAGTACCCTTTCAATATCTACCTATTATTATTGACCTATTGCATTTTTCGGAGTAAGTAATAAAATTACTAAACTATGAGGCAACAATGACTAGAAAAGCAATTAACTCTTTTTTGCAGTCAAGTAAATTTATCAAAATGTTTTACTAATTATTTTGCCATATTAAAATGTATAATTTTTAAACGCATGTAAGCTTTATAGATTAAACTTTAATTTGTAAATATTATAGGTATTTTTCATGAATATTTGAACATTTAAATTAAGCACCCCTGCTATTATTTTGAGAACCTCTGTACGTATATATTCATTATAAGTATGATCAATAGCTTCAATTAGTCTTAATGTATTTTAAGCTACTATTAATGTTCTTTAATTAAGAACTGCTTATTAATTTTATACAACTTATGGGTATTTTTTGTATAGGTAATTCCATTTATTATGGTTTAAAGTATTGAAACTAAATTGATACTCTACAAATATTTAATTTAAAGAGAGTAAAAATGTGCGTAACGTTAGAAATGAGAATAATAATAAGTTAGTGGTTATTAGTTAAGGTTAATTATTAATAACGATACTGTAAATGGACACTGTGTCCCGTCTGATGATGATTGATCGGGTTTAATCCCGATTCCGATTTTGGTTGGTCATCACAGATCGCAGACACCGAGAGTTATGTCTCTTGCCGTCCCTTTCTCTTCTGTGCCTATATACATGTATCAATAATTAGATGATTAAGTATTATAATCCTCCAGAGCACTTTGATCAGTGACATCGATTGTGGAGCCTTTGAATGGAAAATGCTATGGCCGTCACTGATTAAATTGTGCTGGACTAGAGTCCCCTAGGGTTCGAATATGACCTATGTATTTGTATTTGATTGAGGAGGGTCCTAGGCGTATACCACCTCACCATACTGCATACTACAAACAACAACAACCAAATTTAAAGCATTAAATAAGTTATTCAATATCCTCTTTTAGAAATGGAGGCGCCAGCAAGGACAGCTACAACAAAGGTAAAAATAATGCAAATCATTTTGCAAATCATATCGAGTAATGTATACCAAATATATTTTTCTATACATATTGAACCCAAAAAAAAAAACTGATTAGAACAGAAACAGAACAAACAGAAACAGAGTTTAAATTTAAATTCAAAAAAACCGAAACCAAAAAAAATCATATAAATTACAGAAACCAATGTGTGGTTACAATTCCTTCGTATATATCTATCTATATAGAGTGTGTTATAGTGTGTTACATATTATTCAGTGTATCTTGTCGATCTCCAGATGGGGATCGGTCCGCCAGGAAGGGTTACTTAAGCTACAAAATATTTCTGTGCAATAATGCTGCTGTGTGTAATTAAGGCTTTATAAGGAGGTGCATCGGTCGGTTGGGTCCTCGTTATATCTATAATCGTTATCGTTTCTCTCCTCTCCCTCCTGGCAATTCAAGGTCATTGGTATTATCTTCTTGTTCTGGGTATTGGGTGTGTTTGTAGCCAGAAGGAAGAACAAAACCATGTTGATATCGAAAGTGTCGTCTACCCATGTCTCCTCCCTGTGACTACCATAAGGTTTCTTGATATATACACACGCCCTCAAAATTCTGGTTTTCATCGCTTCTATATTATCACTTAAGGAATATATATCCCAATGATGCGATGCAAGGTGTTTGTACTTAGGGGATTCTTCATCTTCGTTGCGTTGAGTTATCACAAAAAAAAAAAAGAAAAAATATATATATATATATGTTTAAAAATAAACTAAAGAAAGGGAAAAAAGAGAGATCCAAAAATTTCGCAAAATCCGAATATATCCGCAGTTCCATTCAATAAGCTATTCCATGCCCTTTATCAGCGCTTTCTAACATCCCATTCGCTTTTGTAGGACCCGGCGGCGGCGGTGGATACTCGGGCGGCGGTGGAGGTGGCGGCGGTTCCAGCGGCGGGGACATGATCACCCAGGAGGACACAATCTTTGTCTCTGGCATGGATCCGAATGCCACTGAAAATGATATTGAGACGCACTTTGGTGCCATTGGCATAATCAAGGTGGGTAAAGATCTCCCTTGTAAATCTCTCTTGTAATAACAAGATATATGACGCTAATACGCATCTTGTTATCATAAGGTCTTTAGGCTAACACTTGACTCTGACACCTTGTCTTTTTATGCCTTTGCAGAAGGACAAGCGCACAATGAAGCCCAAAATTTGGCTCTACAAGAATAAGGAGACAGGCGCTTCTAAGGGCGAGGCCACAGTGACCTACGATGATACCAATGCCGCTCAGTCCGCCATCGAATGGTTCGATGGCCGTGATTTTAACGGCTGCACGATCAAGGTGTCGCTGGCGCAGCGCCAGAATAACTGGAACAAGGGCGGCGGCGGCCGCGGTGGCTTCGGTGGTCGCCGTGGCGGCGGTGGTGGTCCTGGTGGCGGTGGCGGTGGCCGCTTTGACCGCGGAGGTGGTGGTGGCGGCGGCGGAGGAGGCGGCGGCGGAAATCGTTTCGACCGCGGCGGCGGTGGAGGTGGTGGCGGCGGAGGCGGCGGCAATGTGCAGCCCCGTGACGGGGATTGGAAGTGCAATAGCTGCAACAACACCAACTTTGCCTGGCGCAACGAGTGCAACCGGTAAGCAAGAATAAAAAAGGCAGCATTCGCAGTGGAACTTATCATTTTTCTTTGCAGCTGCAAGACGCCTAAGGGAGATGAAGATGGTTCCGGTGGCGGCGGCGGTGGCGGTGGTGGCTACGGAGGCGGCAGTGGCGGTGGAGGCTACGGCGGCGGCATGAATGACCGTGGCAACGATCGTGGGTCCGGCGGTGGTGGATATCAGAACAGAGACCGTAACTCTGGTGGAGGCGGTGGCGGATATTCGCGCTACAATGACAACAATGGCGGTGGAGGTGGCGGTGGCGGCGGCCGTGGACGCGGAGGAGGAGGCGGTGGCGGAAACAGACGTGATGGCGGTGGACCGATGCGCAACGATGGTGGAATGCGCTCCAGGCCTTACTAACCGGGTGCGATTTAAGGGCGGAACACATTTTTTTCACATTTACGTATTAATTGTAGCGAGTACTCTCTTTTAATGTACTTTTAAATTTACGTCAGAGCAAAATCCAAATGCCAACGCATACTTACTTTCAACCGATTTTTCGCCAAACCTAAACACACCAACACAAACACATGCAAAGGATGGTCCGGTTATAGCTCGTTTCGACCTAGAATATACATTTATATGTAATCTAATTTAACAACTGTAACTAATATGATACATACAAATAAAAACGTATATATATAACTCATCTATATACACGAAATGCCCGGTTTTCTCCTCTCTCTAAACTGTAATTTTTGTATGCATTGTGTTGCAGTTAAAATCTGAAGATATCGAGATCTATAAATGAATATATATGAATTAAAAATGATTTGGAATTTTTATATATACCAATATAGCCAGTGGAAGCATTAGATGTGCAAGAAATAAATCTATAAACGGGCAATAATTTTGTAAACTTATACTCTCATAGCTGTTTTTGTTTTAATCCTTTTAGGGATTTTGACCACAATCAAGTATTAACAACCGAGTCGATCTAGCAATTTCCGTCTGTTCATCCGTTTGTTTGCAAACTAGTCTTAATTTTTAAAATGAATTGAAACCATCTTCTCAAAACCAAGATATGTTAAAATATAATTCAAAACTGATCGGTCAGATTAGTTACAATTCAGTTTCCTTTTTTTTTTAATATACATATGTATACAACCGATCGATATGAATTAAAGAAAAAACAAATGTTTTTCTTTATTTCCCTTTTTTTGGCCTCTTAGAAGAGTAATATGATTGTATTTCGAAAAGGAGTCATTTCCGACCCTATAAATCATATATATTCTTGATCAGCATCAACAGCTGAATCTATCTAGACATCTCCGAAAGAAAAAAAAATTGTTTCAATTTTTTCAAAATTTTATAAGGGGTTACATCGTTAAAATTGGCAAAAAAATAACAAAAAATTAAAATTTTTGTAATTTTAAAACTGAGTAAGCAAATTTGTTAAACTAATAAAAACAAACATAGGAACGCTTTCCGAATTTAAATAATTGCATTTTTGGCTTAGTTATACAATTTTAAACTTTGATTGTCCCAAAAAATATGATATAAAAAATCGATTTAAAAATAAATTATCAAATAATAATTATTATTCCACCTAAAAAACTAACACAGGTAAATTATTAATTTACTATGCAGATTTGTTAACCGCAAAACAAATAATACAGGAACGCTTTTCGAATTAAAATTAATAAGTTTTTGCAATAGTTATGCTTTTTTTTAGACTTTGATTGTTCCAAAAAATATTTTTTGTTTTAATTATAAAAAAAAATTCCCATTTCAAGAATTTTGCATAGGAAAATATAGCTTTAATCAGTAAAGGAGTCATTTCCGATCATATAAATTATATATATTCTTGATCAGCATTAACAGGCGAATTTCTAGCTATATTCGGCAAAAAAAAAAAAAACATTTTTAAAAATTTTCAATTTAAAATAAAAAAAAATCAGAAATGATCAAAAATTTTAATTTTTTTAAATTTGAAATTGAGTATGCAGTTTTTTCTAACCTTTTAAAAACTAACATAGACAAGCTTTCCGAACTAAAATTAACCCATTTTTAGCTTAGTTATGACCATTTTCAAAAAATCCCAATATCCTTTTTTTTGGTCCTAGAAAAATACAAATTACAATTATAGGAGAGAATATGGCATTAATACAGTGAGAATAGATTTTTCCCAGCTCTACTATATATAAATTCAAGCCTATCCTGTTGTTAAGATCGAAAAAACAACCTCGTTCCCATATAATATCATAGGTGAAATGTTTTTATAAAATTTTTTTAATATTATTACTTTTTGTTTTGCATATACATAATAATATTACAGTTCATCTTTTTCTAGTAGAGTGTAGCGATGCTTGGATGGTCCAAGTTCCTTGAATTTTGACTCGGGAGGTGAGGTACCCTTGCCGCTGTGGGCCTCAGGCTGTATCTCATTCGTGGGATCCGGCCCATAATGAAACTCCCTGGAATGCAAGGCAGATTGTTAATAAGCAAATAATTATAACTTTGTTTGTGTGAGATATATAGTTACCGGTGCAGCTTGCCGCTGTAGAGATCCTGCAGGAACTGCTTCAGCTTTCCCGGCGTATACATGTCACTGAAGTGTGGAAAGAGATACATGTGCTTAAAGGAATCGATAGCGATCAGGGGCAGGTCGTCCTCCGATTTCCCCAAGTGATGCAGCGGATGGGCGAATCGCTTGCCATCGGCGGTCAAAAAGTTGACATTCTCTGCATGTGTAAATGGGGATTAAGATGTAAGCAAGCAAGCATAATATATCTATATTACGTTTCTCATCCAACAATTGACGCTCAATGATTGACTTGTAGTCCTTGATGGAGTTGTGATCGTCCGGCCGATGGAACATAATCAGGAACGGCAGTCCCTCCTCGGTTAGTTCTTCTGCATTCTCGAACGTTATTTCCCGCACCAGCGGCACACACTTCTCCTGAATCCAAATCTTCAGCTCGTCGAAATTCTGCAGGGATCCCGTGTAGGTTTCATCGTTTTCATGGGACAAAGCCACATCGGGTCTAAATACTATGATTGGTGTGCCTAAAAGCAAAGAAGGAGCATCGTTCAGCGTCTTATGGTTCAGGTTCATGGGTTTACGATGGCTTTTACCAGGAGGATGCATGGCCTGAGCGGCGTCCCCGAAGCCAACGTGGAACTGGCAGTCCTCCTTTAGATTGGTGGCCACCTTCCGGAAAATATCATACTCGGGCTGATCTCTGCGATCGAAGTAGCCCAAAATGAGGCGTTTCTTTGAATCGAGATTCTCTAGATCCTTGAGGGACTTGAACTCCTGAATCGGATCCTCCAGCTGCTTCTTAACAAACTCGAGGAACGCTTCCGCTGAACGCTGACCTCGGTACTCGCGCTTGCTGAGCTGTCCATTCCGGACGATCTTGAGGGTTGGATATTTGTTGATGTGAAACCGCGACGCGATCGCAGTCTCCTTGTCGCAGTCGACTTTGCCTAGCACCACCTTACCGGCCTCTGGAAACTCGGCTTTGATCTGGAAGAGAACGTTAGGTAATTTGCCGTGTAATTGCAACTCATTCGTTACGGTATTGCATTAATTGTTAATCCAATAAGGTAACAAAGACTTTAAAAGGCTCTTTTTCGTTTCAGTTATAGCTACCGATCCTTGGGACTCACCTTATCTGCCGCTTCACTGAATATAGGCGCTAAAATATTACTAAACCGACACCACTCCGCATAAAAATTAAGGAAAACCAATTCATTAGACGCTGCAATTAAACAAAGCGTGTTTTAAATGTGGAAGCAACAGAGTTTTGTGTGTGATAAGAAGGACGGATAAAAACAAAAAGGTATTGGGACCCACCACATCGCAATATCTAGTGTTGCAATTTTGTATTTTCCTTTCTAAACATTTCGTGTTGCAGCATCAGAGAATTAGTGATATCAAAATACTAATGGCATTGCCAACTACTTTATTCCCGACTCGTTAAGATTGATAAAAGTTGTCGTATCTAATAACTAAAGTGTAATTCTTCGCAGTTAAGATAAGATAAAGTAATGTTAAAGACTTTGTGCATTATTTTTCAGTCTATTAGTACTCTGTAAATGGAAATTCATAACCATAAAGTAAGATTTGATTTATACAGAGATGATTTATAGTTTTAAGACACGTTTAATAGGTAATCCAGTTAAGTATTTAACAGGAGAAACAAGGTTTTAAAACTTATAAAGACTTGATTTAATTTAGAAGGTACTTAGATCAATTGCCTAAATCAAACCCAATTGAAAGCATTGAAAATAAAAGGGTTGGCACTGACCTTCTTTTGAACCTGTTAATTAATATTACTTCATCTAGTTTGTTCTCTTCAGTAACTAAAGAATTCGATATAACAATATATATTGTTTGCATTCCCTTTTTCCATTGAATCTAAAAATAAACAATCAAAACAACTGTTCGCGCGCTCAGCTGGTACTGTCTGACGATTTAAACAAAAGTTTTGTAAGGGAATTGGACGTACATTGCCCAGGTTTAAGCTTTAAAAAACACATCTGTATATTTCTTACTTATTTCCTCTTTAATTTCAATCCTAATTTGAACTTTTTGAGGATCTTACAAGAACGATCTGTTCCGATAAGGTCTTACGAGAGTTCACTGATGACTAATTTTCTGTGCAAATATGTTTTAGGTCAGTAAAATACATTTTAATCGCAATAGGCGAAACTAAAAACAAAATTTACCACGTTAGCAAGCCCGAAATTGACATGATCCACTGATTTTCGTGTTTTGCGACACGTCAATACCCCAACAAGTCACTTAATTGATTTTCTGCAGCCTGTGTCGGTATCGCTATCGGTGGCGATATCGCGATGCCGGTTCTTACCTAGAGTCATGTCGATGTTGTCACTGGTCATGGGAACGGCTCCCGCATCTGCTGGCGCTGCTTGATGGAGCAGCTGTAGAACCTGGAATTGTACGTGGAGATAATAAGAGTGCGACTTGGTGTGCCACAACAACAAGTACGGGGGCGGCGTGGTTGATTTTTCACTCTCCACCGCACAGCAAATGTCGCATGCCGCCCGCCACCCGCAACCCGCCGCTTTCCCGCACTTTATGCGGAGAATCCGAGTATCGGTAACCGAGAACCGGACAAGAACGGAACACGTCGACTCACCGCAACAAGGGCCACGCAGGGCCCGAGCTTTCGGATTCTGGCTCCAATCATTCTGGGGATAGTGGGTGGAAGTGGATTTTAGTGCACCGGTGGAAAATCCAAGCGTTCGAATGCAATTCAGTCACACATCAGCTGGAATGGAATGGATGCCTCTAGGCTGGCCGCACTGCAAACGTAGCCACAACAAAACTTTTTACAATTTTTATCGGTCTCGGCCAGAGTTGGGTTTTAAAGCAGTGTGCCCGTCGTTTATCTCTTACAATATACCGTCCGGCTAACAACAATACCAAAAAAGTGATATATTTTATAAAAAATACTGAACTCGTGATTTTTCTAATTGGTTTTTTGCTAAATATGTGCAACGAACCGAATCAGGATTTATCTGACAATTGCCTTTAAAAGTCTAATTAGAATGATAATATTACAAAACACTCGATAGCCAGTAAGAAACCATGTATAATATACTACAAATACTCCACACCAGCAGTATATTTTCGTAAGTTTGCTTTAAATATTGCTATTGCGTATTTTGTTACCCACTAACAAATATACGAATTTCCAGTATTACATACATGATTATTATTGTTTATTAAAATTTCTAAACAAGTATATTTTATTGAAAAAAAAATAAAAATCTTCAATTATTTATTAATGTGGCCACATATCCGATAACGAAATCGATTGTTGCATACCGATAACGATACCAACTACCGATAGTAATAATCCCAAATGGAAACAAAAAAGTGTAAATGAATACATATGTATGTGCATCAATATTTGCGAATCTTTGTTTATAATAGCTGACGTTTATGGATTTTATGGTGGTAAATAGAGCGAGTTATAAGCGAATAGTGTTTTCAATACGGGAATAAACGCCAAGCCAATAGTTCCGAAGCTACATACCACTCCGACCAATCGTTTTGTGGACCTCGAATGTGTGTGCATACATATGTGACGATTGTACTGTGTTGTTATTGTTGCTCTTCTTCGCTACACACGCATTAATGTTTAATTATTTTGTTTATGACAACATACTGGCTGCTGCTTTTGTTGCTGCTGCCCGCTTGACGCTGAGAACTCAAACAGCGAGGATTTGTTAAGCTCCAACAAGTACGATAATTCGACAGTTTTTCTCCGCTTATTGGTTATGGAATTACGATAATCTATTTGTATATATACATACATACATACAAGTGACGATCTATGTATTGCGCACCTCCTCTACGTACATCCCAGCAACTGTGTGCGTTCACATAAACGGATGCATATATGCATTCGCATTATCTATATTGCCACCACGACACTCAAATATTAACTTCGATTTTGTTCTAAAAGTGTTGGTTGTGCTTGAATTTCCATAAAGGCAAACACACAGAGGCACACTAAGCGAGTGATGTGTATGCCTTTGTATGTGCACTCAACAATGTATGTACATACATACATACATCACACCGAAGGCAGATTGTCGTCGTTGCCGTCGTCGTCGTAGTCGTCCTACATCCAACATATGTAGAGTGAATTCGCTTTAAAGGCTCTGTGTCTCAGTCCCAGTTCCAGTCGCAGTCTTAATATGTACAATGCGTCACACGTAATCGGGGCAGGCGGTGGCTGAACGATGGATATTGAGCGATAACCGGATTTCCAATGACACTCAGATCGCCTTGCCAGGCCTGGTCCCCCTAAATATAAGCAAACAAAACACGATATTCCGTATACAAGTTACATACCCAGTCTTATTTCAGCCGATTCACACAATGTCCGATGGATCGCCGCCTCCGTCAATTTGCTTTATCCGTGCCGCCGAATCGTATCCAAAATCACAAATGGAGAAGGAAGATTCGCAGCTATTCGTGCCCTTCCAAGAGCGTAAGTTTAGCCTACTCAATAGCCCCATCTAGACCCATAAAGTTTACTAACAACAACTGTTCCCCCATCCAGTGTCTGGCGAGTCTATAAAGTACCTGGGACGCACCGATGATGGGGTTCTCGCCTTGTCCAATTACCGTATATATCTCTCGAAGAAGTCAACCGGCTTCGAGACGTACGTACCGTTGGGATTAATCGAATCAGTTCAGGTTCGCGACCTGTTTCAGCTGATTTTAAACTGCAAGGACGCCAGCACAGTGCGGTGCTCATTCCAGTCAGCAGAGCAATGTGCGGACTGGCAGCGTCGCATCCATCTGTTAATCGGTGTGCCCGAGACGCTGGAGACGCTATTTGCGTTTCCCTTTTACTCCTGGACCTGTGACACCATTGGAACGAATGGAACTGCAGCCAATGGCATTGAGAACGGCCTGGCTAGCAAGGAGCGCCCAGCGCTACCGGTGGCGAATGGCTCTGCAAAGCTAAACACAGTGCCCACAGCAACGGTGATGCCTTCACTCGATCCTGCCGAGACCATGCCCTCGGTAAGCAGCCGCCTGCAGCGATCGGTGCGGTATGAAAGCGACTTCAAGAACGAGGTTGCGCGTCTGGGATTCGACCTGAAGGGCTCTTGGCGCATCTCCACAGCAAATGCCGACTTCAAGCTATGCCCTTCGTATCCGCCCAAGTTGCTGGTGCCTTGCTGCATCACCGACGAGATGCTTCACAATGTGGCCAATTTCCGGGGATCACGCCGTTTGCCGGCGGTGGTCTGGCGACATCAGAAATCCGGTGCTATTCTTGCTCGCTGCAGTCAGCCGGAAGTAGGCTGGCTGGGATGGCGAAACACCAAGGACGAACAGCTGCTGAAGGCTTTGGCCGATGCCTGTGCCTTCGACAGGGGCGAACACACTAGGCATTCCGCCTTTCCGAATGCGAATGCAAATGCAAATTCAAGTATCCATCAAACCAAAGGCGCCGCCAAGGACACCACCAACAATTGTCCATCGAATTCATCCGGCAAGAGTTCCCCGTCGCTAGAAGATTCCTCGCACGAGGAACTCACTCTGGATGAAATCAGGGTAAGTCTTTATCTATAAAAATCACTAATTCGGAATAGTTTTTATTAATATTGTTATTATTTCAGAAAATCCTAATTGTGGATGCTCGAAGCTATACATCGGCAGTCACGAATCGGGCCCGTGGCGGCGGCTGTGAATGTATTGAGTACTATCCATGCGCCGAAATAGAGTTTATGAGCTTGGGCAACATTCATGCAATCCGAAAGAGTTTCCATGCTGTCCGCCAGCTGTGCGCCTCCTCGCCCGATGATCCGAAGTGAGTATAGCAGAGAGAACCCTATAAAAATGACTGAACTAATTTGTAAACTTTGAACAGTTGGTACGGTCAGCTGGAGAAAACGATGTGGATGCAGCACCTTTCGGGTCTACTGGGCGCCACAATGACCGTTGTGCATACCATCGAAAAGAACGGACGCCCGGTTCTTGTCCACTGCTCTGATGGATGGGATCGAACGCCACAGATAGTGGCAACAGCTCAACTCTGCTTGGATCCCTACTACAGGACGGTTGAGGTATGTATCGGAGAGTATGTTAGGTGGCAAAAGTGCAAAGACTCGCTACACAAATCCTCAAATCAATTGAAGTGCAATCAGAGTAGTTTCTCCCTTTTTCATTGATTCCCTTTGTTCTATTTGATATCCACAGGGCTTTCGGGTTCTCGTCGAACGTGAGTGGCTTAATTTCGGTCATAAGTTTGCCGATCGCTCCGGCAATGGTCCCAACTCGGAGGAGGTCAACGAGCGTTGCCCTGTTTTCCTGCAATGGCTGGATTTGGTTCACCAAATCCATCGGCAGTATCCCTGCAGCTTTGAGTTTAGTATAGGCTATTTGGTAAGTGTTCTCCCGCTTCGCATTAGCTTTAACTTATCTAACAAAACCCATTAATTACAGATTAAACTGGCGCAACATTCGCTGTCCTGTCTATTTGGCACGTTCCTATGTAATTCGCTTAGGGAACGCATTGAGAATTCCGTATTCGATCGAACATTTTCAGTGTGGCCATTTTTAGCGGAAACTATGTATAGAAATCCTCTCTATAAGCATGAGACTGAAAAGGTATAAACTGTTGATCTTTCCCATGATGATTATAATACCATTATTATCGTTTTTAGGTTCTTTGGCCAGCACACAGTGTGCGGTTTTTATATTTTTGGTCGGACGTTTACCTTGGTAGTTTAGGCAACAAAAATGGAACTGATCTGTCATCACTGCACAGCAATGAAAGGCAGACAAACAGTGCCCACAACGGTGGTGAGTCTTGCATAGTTTTCTCATGATTAATATATACTAATTTCTATATATATTGCAGTTACGATGACAAAGACCAGATCTTCGGAAGACTTAACAACGAATGAGCTGGGACAAAGCACCATTTCGAGAAGATCAAGTGATCCGAACCTTACAGTTGAATCCATGTAGCCACAATCTAAATGACCTTATAATACACACATATTAATAATTATAAATAATTGCAGTGTCACAGATTGCCTCAACGTGAACAATAGCAACTCCATGTTCGACATACGATCAGACCAGACGGACAATAGAAGCGTTTGTGCAAATGTCCAGGATAGTAATGTGAAAGACTCCAAAGAACGTGATGTAGATGTTACGGATACGCCCGAAACAGGGCAGGGCCCAGCAGATAATAGCATTCCACAGTTCTATAGCGACCAAAGTATACCAGCCCCTTCTGACCGTGATAAATTGGATAAGGAAGCAACACAGCAACTGATCCCTCCTGGATCTGGACGATCCACTGTCCATGCCTTAGGTAAGCTATAAATAATATCTTAAAAAAGGAACTAATAAGCTATAGGACAAATATGAAATTTAACAATGTATTACAATGCTTACAGATCGGCAGCCAGCTCCTCCAAAAACAGAAGGTACAAACCATGCCCTGTTGTGGCATGGAACAGTCGAAACTAGCACCGATACCCTGATCCAAACCGAAAATAATGGCGGGGTCCATGAAACGCCACTGGACAACACTGATAACAGCGGCGATAAGAAACCAAAATCGGTCGACGGTGGCGGCGTCCAAAGCAGTAAAATCAGTCAGAGCTATAACAATTTGCCGCGGGTTCACATGAAGCCAACAGTTGCGCGGCAGCGAGGCGGAGACCATTTTCCACATCACCTAGACTTGCATGTGTCCAGGCAGAATGCGCACAACACGGTTCGCTGCAAGCAGGAGAATCTAAACAAGGATGCAAATGCGAATGGTAGCTCGGTAGCTGATGAAAGCTTATACATGTCGCCTGATCTCCAGAGATTCGTGGGCCATTCTTCACCATTCGATGTACCGTCGCTGGTGGGGGCCGGCGGTGGCTGTCGTGTGCGTAGGAATACTTTCGGTTCAAGTTATAGTCGCGATCTGGGGCACATGAAATTCACAGGAGAAAACGGCAGGTGAGTGAGTGATAGAAATACTATAGATGTATATCAAATATCCGATTTGTGGTAATAAATAAATGGTAACTCAACATATCTTTATACTTTCAGCACACATCACCAATATCCGTCGTCCGGGTTGATTTCGTTGCCACCGACACCGTTTCAGGAGAGAGCACAGTTCACTATATCCTGCCCCGATGGTCTGGCTCACGGCCTCAGCGAACAAAATATAAGACTTCATCAGATCGTACAAGACCACAAGGTAAGCTTCTCTCTCCTCTCTCATACATTCTAGTGCGAATTTAGCTTTGACTCGACTGAATCTCTCTTGAACCTTTTCACAGCTGCGAGAGGAGATTCTGTTGCGGGAAATACACGGCATGCGGCTGGCTTTGTTGGAGAAAGGCTGTCCCAGTTGCAACAGCATTGTTTCGACTAATGTGGAACATGTAAATACAGATTTAACTACAAGACTTTACACATAATACGTATAATTTGTGGAAGAGTTAGGATAGTGTTTGATATATATTAGGAATACATACATATGGTCACCAAGTCAAGCAGAGATAATAATTAATATTATTCATACATTTTTTGTCGTCGTCTAATATTGCATATAAATCTTTCCTATAGGAAAACGGATCGGATATAGTTGAAAATGCTTCAACGTGTTCATGGGAAGCCGTCGAAGAACGTAGTGGTCCCCCATCGTTTGCCCCTTCCCTGATCCAAGAGAAAAAAGCCTCCAGTGTCCTCTGGGTACCAGATCATGCCGTTTCACGTTGCTCTAGTTGTCAAACTGAGTTCTGGCTTGGACGAAGAAAACATCATTGTCGGTGCGCATTCCTTTGATTCTATTGACTCTTCAGTTCCACATTAACACATCTAAATTTGTAGACAGTTTGTACCTTAACGTAAACAGTACTATGTTTTTTTTTTTATATTTTTCTTATCCTAACCAATGTGAACCTAATACTAAACTCAACTCAATTTTGTACTCCAAATGTACATATATCTAGTGGAAAAGCCGCGCTCAATATTATATCGAAAATATCTTAAACTTTGATATATCAAAATTCAAAATATCGAACAGAAACGTAACATTTCAATATTATCAAAGAGAAATTTATCAATTACCAAATTTTATTTATTTATTAGCAAAACAGTCTTGAGAAATCAATATTTTCTGCTCTTTGAACTCTTTTTTGTCTAACTTTCATTTAAAAATAATTTTAAAAAATGATTTTTTTGGGAGAATGTAGCATTTATTGTCCTGTTTTTTAAATGTTTACTTTTCTTAAAGCTTCAGGGGGAACACCACTTGAAAATCGGTTAAATAACGCCAAGAACACTGAAATTTTCACTAGGTTTAACTTGATGCCTCAGTATTCTTTCTTAAAAGAAAGCTCCTAACTCGATTTGTGCTGTGTATAATAATATATAATCTATAATATAAATCTGGAGTCGAAACCCGACGTATTTTCTGTCCAGATATATAAAGCAACGTTTTTGTTTATGTACCAGTGATGTGAATGTGATGTGTTAAAAACAAAATACTTATAAGGTAAGTTTTATGAACTAATAAACAAGGATCGCATTGGGTTTGTTGTGTTGTTTCTATTCTATTTCTATTTTTTCTTTTAATATATAAACAAATTAATTTTCAATTTATTTTGTTTCTTGCAGATTAAATTTGATGTCGAAATAAAATATTAACAAAATTGTCGACAAGAAAATGTGAAACTCAGGGAAAAGGACAATCAAATGTTTATTTTTATAATAAAAACGTAGCGTGTATTACTTAAAAGAAAGTACATTTTAATAAAGCCAATAGAGCTTGTTCTAACCTAATACATCAAATCTTATGATATTTTATTAAATATAAATATAAATATATAGGCGTGGTGGTGTTCCCCCTATTTAAGTATTCAAGAACTGAACCGCAAACACACACTATAGTTTTATAAGTTTAATTTACATTGATCAAATATTTTCAAATTATAATTCAGGGTTTGTTTTTTATGTTTACAATTCCAGATCATGTGGAGAAATTTTCTGTGCTGACTGCTCGGAGTTTTGGGCGCCCTTGCCATACGAAAAGCTATTCAACCCAGTTAGGCTATGCGGTTCCTGCTACACGACAGTCACAACCAATATCCAGGAGTACACTGCTGCTGCTGCTGTTCCATCTGAAGCCGAGTCGAGGGCGAGGTCCTCTGCAGATTCCTAAGAGTTGTTTCCAATTAATTCAATTAAGACTCCTCTGTTGTATCAATATGTACATACCATATATAATAACATATATACTCAAGAACAATATTTATTGCCTCTGTGTTAGCACCATTATAGCGAAAAATTCCTTTGTGCGTTTGTATAGTACACGAAATTATAGAATTTTGTTGGAAATATATATATGTGTAACTATATGTGTATAGATGATATATGTCTATATGTATCTGTATATGGATCTATGGACACGATTGTAAATTATTATATTAATTGAAACGCAATGGGTGCCCTACAATAAATTTTGGTTTGTTTCTGTATATCCTGGAGATTTCCAAGTTTGTCGTCGTCGTTAATCCAGAACAGCACCAACTTTAAGCACGAACGTAGATATATCCATAAATGGTCGGTGCCTACTTTCGGCAGCCTGCAACACGGCTGCACAGAATAATGGAGTAAAAAATATAGGATTAACAAAATTTATGTTTAAAGAAAAATACTTAAGAAGAAGTGTTAATAGTCTGTAAATATTAACTTTAAAATCGAATGTTTTAAAAAATGTTTGTTGATTTAAATTTAAAAGTAATTGGCATCCACTCACAATAGTTCTTTTGGAATTTTTTTACACATAAGAGATATATAGTTTCTGCATGAATTCAGGTCTTGGGTTAATCTGACGATAATCAAATGTTGTTTGGCCAGTTGGGCGACCATCTTTGACTCGCTTTTCTTGGCCCGGTTGTAATCCACCAAAAAGATGTCCTTTTTTTTTAATCTACAGAGGCAAAAATAATACAAATAAAGAGAGGAACTTGTGGAAGCTAAAGTTTGTATATCCTTACAGTTTACAATTAAATTAGGGGACTTAATTTTATAAAGATATTAAATAGATCAGAAGAAGCATGACTTGCAATCTGAAAGCTATTTTGTGTACGCTTGCACTTTGTTAAATTTGAAATATTTTAAATTTTAGTTTATATCCAAGTAAACTCACTCGCTATTTGCTTTCGCCAGCTCAGACTTCAGATTGACTATGTCTTGATCTTTGTCCGAGTGGGCAAAGCTGCTCTCAATCAGCTGAAGATGAAGTTTGGTGTTCAGTTTCTCGACTTTTAACAGCTTATCATTCAGTGTGGAGATAATCTGATCCTGGTGGGCAATCTGTTTGCGATACCTTGCTTCCTTTACTCTGTCAATGCAACTGATCGCTAAACCAGAGGTGAAATAATTTATGTACAAGTTTTTCAAGAGATTGATTGATACTACTAGAGCTGCTTACATGTCTGCGTGTAGATCGACTTTGTACGCAATGTCCAGAAGCGGTCCTCCTGAGTCGACACATTTTTGGAACGAGCAATGACACGTTGCATGGATCGCTCCTGCTGCAACTCAGAATATGACGGAATAACCATCAAGGACGGACTGATGTCCGTAGAAGAAGCTTTCTCCACCATCGAGGTATTGTTTTCTTCAAATATGATAACCATATAAGTCTACTTTCAAAGTTATTTGAAACTATTAACTTACCGCGCACTGCCCTAGACATGCCAAAGTTTTCGAATTTTAGTGAAAATAAATGCAAAAATATGTAAAGGAAACACGAAATTTTTAACTATAAAAATAAATGAGTTTTGAAGAAAAAATTTATAGAAATTTAGAATGATTTTGGATGATTCTGTTTTGATGTTTACTCGACTAATATCTGAAGCACACTGAATTTTGTTTTAGCATTGCATGGAATGTTATTTTCATTTTGACTTTAAAAGTCCATGGCCTATGTGATTGCTATTTTGGAATTGTAAACCTAGAAACGTGCAAGTTTTATTTATGATCAGGTTGAGCGCGCTAAATTTTGAATTTGAATTGCCTTCTGAAGAAATATCGTTAAAATAAAACATGGAGCCCTGGTTTTCTGGAATGAATGGCAACGCGGCAACATTAATGACCATCCCTGAAAGAGATGGTGGAATTATTTGAACGACAATTATAAGACTTTTAAATAAATTTATTAAATTGAAATTCTACTTGTATTTCGAAAAACGAAAAATTAATATATATGTACTATAGTAAAAGTATTTCAATCTTTCTTTTTTGAACCTCTATATATCGATAACATTTACGTTAGGTACATTCTTGATGGCCAACAGCCATATTTCTCAAAGCGGGAGTTTGAAAATGTGTAAAACAAGGCCAAGATTTCTTAATCCAACGATTATTTATAATGAATTTTTGAAATTGTGTGATTTTATAAACTCCACAAAAATTATTTGCAATACTTTCGAATAACAAGATCCGTTTTGGTGAGCTCAAAAATGTAAATTGTAATAAAAATAAATGCGTATCCACACATTCCTAAAGCAAGATACTCTATATATTTAATTTTAAGTATATTATTTTTTGCAAATTTATTAAGTTATAATAAAGAATAACTAATTGTTCTTCTTCTATGGAGTGATATAACACAACGTCCAAATCGAACCACCGGCCAACATCGTGTATGTAGTATCGCACACGTTGTCATACACGATGGTCTTTTTCGGTGCAACTCTGATTCGCCACTTTCGGCACAACTCGTCAGCGGCATTTCACATTGCGGAGTCCGCCATTTTAACAAGAAAATCTATAACCCTAGCTTCGTCAGCAAGCGGTGTGAACAGAGGTCAGTTGCAATTTGGAATTCAGCTTGTTCGCGAATATTCGAGAGCGTCGAAGATGAGTACTTTGCCTAGGGTATTTTTCGATATGACCGCCGATGGCGAGCCCCTCGGTAGGATAACCATGGAGGTGAGTTTAATTAGTTAAATGCTGCAACGAACCACGGTTTTTTTTTTCATTAGATTCTTTTTTTTTATTTTTATTTTTTGATAAGTTTGTGAAAGTACATGTGCAAGGGGCGGAAAACACGTGATTTCATATCGCCCTTTTTGCCGCTGAAATAATATATGTATGTGTGTATACGTGAATGCATTAGGATGTGTATATAATTAACATCATCTTCAGATCAATTGTGAGAAAAATGTGATTTTCACGCCTTTTAAATAAGTTCTGCAAGTTGTCCCTTTGAACTTGCGGGACATGCTGTAAAGCGCAAAGGTATAACTTGTACTTTCCGTGCACACTCATGCACATGAGTAATCGTATGACGGTGCACTCTCCCCATATGTACATTGAATGCTATCATCATGCACATCTGTGTACGAAATACGGTTCCTAGACACAACGCTATATGCAGTGGAATTTTTTCAAACTTAATTGAGGTGTCGGCAAACGTGTGTGTGTTTGCCGTTTGCCGGTATATACTTGTATGTATACGCTTGTACATCTTTGTGTGTGCGGTGTACATTTCTCTGGTGCGGCTGTATGCGTGTGCGCATATACACGCATACATAACCTCTAAGCGGACACAAGCACACTCACGCCGCGTCTCACGGTGTGCATGAGAGTTTAGTAAACCCGTTTGCAAGAATGAACCTAAGATTAATTCCGCTGATGATGTAATTGGATACAGTAAATATACATATGGTCATTTTGGTATGGCAAAAGTTTGGCATTGCGCGCCGCCGCCGTCGAGTTGTATTTTTAGTAGCCTTGGGCGCCTGCGGTCAATTTGCCGGCAAAGCAACTGCCTAGGACTTTTCTGGCTGTACATACATACATATATACACACGTGCACACCTACATATGTACATACATATATCTATCTGGGGACAAGAACGCATGTGTGCGTGTGCACCTCAATTGATTTTCCCTTCTTATCTGCGGTGGCGTGTGAACTCATTTGCATACTAATCGATATCCCTTTTGCTCTCTCCCCACGATCTCTGTTGCTCCATTTAGCTGCGCTCCGATGTTGTGCCTAAGACCGCCGAGAACTTCCGGGCTCTGTGCACCGGCGAGAAGGGATTCGGCTACAAGGGCTCCATTTTCCACCGCGTCATCCCCAACTTCATGTGCCAGGGCGGCGATTTCACCAACCACAACGGCACTGGCGGCAAGTCCATCTATGGCAACAAGTTCCCCGATGAGAACTTCCAGCTGAAGCACACCGGCTCCGGCATCCTGTCGATGGCCAATGCGGGCGCCAACACCAACGGCTCGCAGTTCTTCATTTGCACCGTGAAGACCGCCTGGTTGGACAACAAGCACGTTGTCTTCGGTGAGGTTGTCGAGGGTCTGGATGTGGTCAAGAAGATCGAATCGTATGGCTCTCAGTCTGGCAAGACCTCCAAGAAGATCATGGTGGCCAACAGTGGCTCTCTCTAAGCGCGATGATGGCGATTCATGCAACAAGCGTAATGTTAAGGCGAAAAAAAAGAAGAAAAACCATTTTGCATTTGCAACTCTTTTTCCCAACAATGATTTTTTTTTACAAATTACTGTAATCTTACGAAATACAATACAAAATATTTTCAATAGAGACAGAGACATGTTTGAATATATTATATTCCTCCCATTCTGGGTTTCTGGCCGATGATAAATCAATTGTATATGGGGGCCAAAATTCCATAAAATGAAATTAAAGAAAAGAAGCAAAGCCTGCAAGCAGGTTAGGAGAGTGAAAGTGAATTCAAACTTGTAACGTCCACATTCCCACTAAGCAGCAGCGTTAGATCCATTGCGTTTGAAATTAACCCATATAGCGTTGTTTCCCCTAAGCGTTAATTACCAACATAATGTTCTATAACAATGTTCTACGATATGTACCGGAATCGGAATTGTATTTTCGTCTTAATAAAGAAAAGTGAATAAACGGAAACTCTATTGAGAATGCTTTGTGTTGGGGAGTAGTATTAAACTTAACTTGTAATAACTTTATTGGAAGAATATCTCAGAGCTACTTAATGTGGCGTACAAGAGATTGTACTCATGCTCATAGGCATTCACATGGTGCTCGGTGATGGCCATTGTCTGCGATAGCTTCTCGTTCGTTGGCGTCGCCGTTGCCTGCTGGCCAGCCAGCAGATTTCGCACCTTGGCGCGCTGCTCCCTAAGCTGCTGGGCAGTGGTTTGACTCCAACCCAGCTCATGGAACTCGCTCTGTTGATTCAGCATGCTCAGGATGTAAACAAGGCCGACGGCGAAGCCATCTTCGAAGAGCGACAACTTCGAGAGGTCCTTCTGGTGAATCTTCAGCTTCTCCTTCACCCGATAGTCAATGTAGTTCATGATCAGTGCCGGTGTGATGAGAAAGAATGTCTTTAAATGGTGATTGTGTGGATTACAAAGGAATGGCTTGAAGCCTTGCACCAGGAGCTAGAATGGATAGCAGGATTATCATCCAATTAAAGCTTATACCTTGCACTACTTACCTTAAAATAATTTGTATTGCCAGAGTAGCATTCCCTCATGTGACCCACACTCTTCTCGTATTCCCTAATTGAGCTCGCAGTGGCGTCCATCAGTCCCTTGGGCTCTTCTTCCGCACTAAACTGACTCCCTAGCTTGGGCATATATGAGCGACTCCTATAGTTAGCGTTCTTGCTTCCCGCCTGCAGAAGACGAACGTAGCCCACGGCATTTCCTACCGGAAATAAATAAAATATATATGAAACACATGTAAGAAAGACAAAGGGAAGACACCTACCCACTTGAGTGATGACTTTCCTAAACAAATCAATGTAGGTCTCGCCATTGTTGGCGAAACCCAGCTTCCTAATCTTCCTGAGAAAATTCTCGGCTCGCTCGTACGGATACGATTGGTAAGGCTTGCTGTGCTTGTGCTCCGCGTGAAAACGTAGCTCCTTGAGAAGACGCGATTTGATCTGCTCGTCGTGCAGGAAAGTGGAGAAAGTGTAGAACTTCTGGCGCAGAAACTGATAGATAAAGTTAACCGTGGTATTTATAATGCCGGAGCCATGTGTCTGCACCGAATTGGCCACATGCCGAGTGCCAATGATATCCAAGTGCTTGCCCTTGCTGTACGTCTCCACGAACAACTGGAGGTTCATATTGTAGGAATAAGTTGAAGCGAATGTATGGATATTCCGCATAATCTGCAGCACATCAATGCCCTGTGAGTGAAAAACACATTAATTATAAATTGAACCTCTAGATTCTGCCGGATCTTACCTGATCTATGATCTGGTTGGGTAAATGGTCGTCAATGGGACGCAGATGCAGAACCTTGCTGGCAAAGTGTCTCATCTTCTCGTACGTTTTCCAGTCATGCGGCGCAATTGTCGTCAGATTATAGAATGTGGCCGTGAAGTAGTTCTCAAGGTTATCTGAAGGCAAGAAGGATGACGTATGGATAAACAAAAGGCTTCAGCTAATATCAACAAATAAGCTTCAATGGATATATAAGGTAAACAAACAAACAATATGGGAACCATATTGTGGACAAACAAATGTGAACTTCAAGTAAAAGTGTAAATAATGGTGGGCATTAGCCGAATACCATCTTTTTGATATAAAATCTTAATTTACGAGCTTTCCTTTTAACCTAATAATAACCCAAAGGCATTCTTAAATCCCCTGTACCTCGTATGATATTGTAATCTCCTCTATATTCCACAGCCGACGCATGTATGCAATGACGATAGTCCAAGGCATTCTGCTGAAAGGGATTTTCCTGGCTCTGGAACAGATGCGACAGGGTCTCCATACGCAGAAACAACTCCAGGTGAGTCCGTAGAAACTCAATCATCAGTCTATTGGCCGATGGCTTTGGCGGAGACAGCTCACTGCTTCCAAAGATGGCCATACTTTTGTCCAAATGATGGCTCACAGCCACAAGGTTCTATAAGTGGAGTGGAATTAAGACGTGACACAGACAAGGGACTTCATTATTTACCTGTAGAGCGTAAGGATTGTGTTGCAGCTCGGTGAACTCCTTGAGCAAGGAAGTGCTGAGGAACCAGTAGTTATATATCAGACTCGAGGAATCCAACTGCTGCCGCATATCGATCCCAAAGCTATTGAGATTGTTGGCTCGCTGAAGGATAGATGGAAAGACCTTTAGCTTGTCGGCGGGCAGGATGCGATCCTTGTCAAGGAATTCACCGACGGCCAGGTCTATGAAGGTCAAACGTTTTTTGCTTGGAAAACCCAGTATCGACTTCTCCGCCAGCTTCATGGTTGAGAGAAAGTTAACCTTCCGCTGCAGCAGCTTTAAGTCAACTATCTTCTTTCTTGTCGTTTGGAGCAAATGCAGGACTCGCTGTTTCTGCCACTGAATCAGGGAGCTGGTGAAGCGTACAAAGTCGATTTGGTTCGATTCGAACGTCCTTTGAAGCACTTTAAGATACTGCAACAGGCGGCACAACACAAACCAATCGGTCTTGGAGAGGGGCGTCATTAGAGCCATGTGTCGATTAACCAGCGAGTCGGCCAGGCGGGTCACCTGCTCGGCATATGACTGACCACTGAGGATCAATTGAGAGAATGTCTTTAGACGTCCAAAGACACCGGCATCGAGTACTCGCTGCATGCTGATCGACCATAACGAAATCTGAACACCCAATTGTCGGCAGGTCTTCAGGTCGCTGGACTTCATCTTCTCCAAGACCGAACTATGCGCTTTGACTCCTTGGAAGTCCACAGGCTTGGCTGGGGTTTTCATCAGGGTCTTGGCATGCTGCGCCAGGAACGCAGCGGGTGACCAGTAAACGGTTTGATTCAGGGGCAAACGGTGGTGCCTGTTAACCAGATCGGTGACATTCCGCACCAATTTCGCCTCAATTTGGATGCCCAGTTCGTGATGTACCGCCACGAAGGCAACAAGCCGAATCAAGTGCTTAGGCTCTTCCAAGTTCACGAATTCGTTGTTCTGATTTCCATCGATTTGAAGAAGCATCTTGCGGATATAGGCATTGGATTGCTGACTGATGTAGCTCACATCTTTTGGTTTGAACTGCTTCTTCAAATCCAGCAGGCTATCTAGAAGATGCTAAGCAACAAATATGGATTACTGCGGAAGCAAAACTTGTTGATTTTGTCCGTTACCCCAAAGAGGTTTCCCGCGATTACGCTCTCGATTTCAGCCAGAGACGTCCGCAAACCAGCTAGCTCAAAGCCAGAACACCGGCCCGCGGTGTGTCCAGCATTGGAGAGCGTTACCAGCCACTCCTTGTACAGCGTCCACTTGACCGAAATCTTTGACTGAATCGCCAGTTCACTGAAGACGACAGCGTGCTCCAGTAGTTCCGTCATACAATCAAATACGGTCTTCAATAAAAGAGGACATAACTTAGGACATGCTAATTAAAATATGATCATGGTTTGGATCTTACTTACGAATATATTGGATACGGGCACGCTGTCAGCCGCGGATGATATTTGTCGCCACAGATTCTGGAGTACTACAACGATGCGTTTCAGCAGAAAGAACACTTGGCAGAAGAACTCCATGGAGCCGCTCATGCGAAATAGCGGCCCCTCCAGGCCGGCACCATCCGATGAAGGGGTACTTCGCACATCGTCCAACAGTCGGAAGTCACTGAACATGAAAGCCAACTGGTATTGCCTTGCCGTGTGGGCCAGATCTCGACACTGATTGCACAGGTTCGCCAGCGTTGTAAGCGTCTTATTCGCCAGCAATTCCGATTCCTCGAAGCTCATCTCCGAAACTGTGGACGACTCGTTGCGGCCAACGTTTAGCTCGATCACCGGCGTCATCGAGATGGGGGAAACGCTGTCGGAGGGCTGGGAAATGGGCAATTTGTTGCTTAACAATTTCAATTTATCATCGTGCTCTTCCATGAACGATCCATAATTCTTGAGGATATCCTCGGCAAAAATTGCTGTGACAAAAAAAAATGAATCACAGTTCACAGAACAATCGGGTTTCTATACGTACACAATGGGGATTGCTCCTGCTTCATGTTTGCGGAATTACATATAACTGGCTTTACCACGAACCGCAGTAATATGATCCGCCCTTGTTAGATAAGATGAACAAATTATTTTTTATTGTTATTATTTTGATTCTCTTATTAGCAATTGGTATCGATTGCACAAGTAATCGAATGGTCGCCATAACGTACATTTCAAATATCGATTAGTCTCTGCTCTCGAAAGAAATATAAAATGTAAGAAAATAGACTGTTCTAGAAAATCCATAAAATGAATAAATATATAATGATGTTCAGATGGATTTTTTTGAAACTTAAAGATTTAGATTTCTTTCCGGGCTACGGTTTTACATCCCGTTAATTATACAAACATGTAAAAAGTAAAGTAGAAAGTAGTATTTAAGAACTGCCTATCGAAATATCGATACACACATTGCAAAAACTTTGTCATCACTATCACATCTTTGGAAGCGGCGAAATTTGCACTACTAAAAAGAATTACATTGATTTACAGAATTTCCAACCGAAAATGGCTGCCAAAAGCGCCGAGAAGGAAAAGGGCGAGGGCCAGGAGCCCGCCGCCAAATTGGAGACCGAAAATCCTCAGGATTCTACAGAGCAAGCGGGACAGAAGCCCCATGAGACCGCTGGGGAGGAGACCACGACACCAACAAAACGCGATGGAGGACGAAAACGTAAGCGGCATTTGTTAAACTCCATCCGCAGCCAGATGGAGTTCTATTTCGGTGACGCTAACCTAAGTAAGGATCGTTTCCTACGACGCTATGTTGATCAGGATCCCTGTAAGTAGCCAGCATTCTTAACCTTCAGCCAAGTGTCACTCTGAATGGAATTCTTTTAGATGTGCCGCTGGAGATATTTCTCACCTTTAACAAAATCAAGACACTCACCCTGGATGTGCAGCAGATAGCCAAGTCGCTGAGCAATTCACAGCTCCTGGAACTGGACGAATCGGGTCTGAAGGTAAAAAGAACAACAAAACTACCGAAGCAGCGCGATGTCAACGATAAGACGCTGTATGTAGAGGCCCTGCCGGCAAATGCCAGCCACGATTGGTTGAAGGAGGTGTTCAGTCGATACGGCCCGGTCGCCTATGTCTCCCTGCCCCATTATCCTGGCACCAAAAAGATCAAGGAGTTTGCCTTCATTGAATTCGAGAAAGCCGGTTCCGTGGAGAAGGCGGTTAAGGCCTTTGATCAGATTAATGGTGTGCTCTCCTCGGAAACGGATCCAAGTGAGCTGGCCAGCGTGCGCTCCTTTCAACAGCAGCAGCAACCACAGCAGGAGAACCAGGAAGAGCTCAATGAGCCAGAAGATCCGCCCAAAAGAAGCCTAAAAAGGGAAATTCTAGACAAAGGAGAAGGAATCGAAGCGAAGCGACCCAAGCTGGAGGACGAGCAGCCCAGTGGAGTCTCGACTGCAGAGGAATCAGCCAGCGAAACGGATGCGGAGGCCACAGCAGAAGCTTCCGAGCAGGATGGTAAGGCAGAGGCGAATGATTCTAAAAAGCGACGTCGCAAGCGCAAGAAAAAGGTAATTGTGGATAAGCCGAACATCGAACCCAGTGCCTTAGAGATCAAGGTTCTGCCCAAGACCAGCTGGAGCAGTTTGCGCAACAAATACTTGAATCTGCAGCGTCGTCTTGTCAGCGAAGCCAAGAGCAAACAGTGGCGTGAGAATCATCCGCAAAATCAGCATCAGCACCATCATCACACGCACAGTCACCCGAATCCACCGCAGCCAAAGCCAGAAGCCGTTAAGGAGGAGGAAACCAATGCGGAGGTATTAAGTGACGGTGCTGGTGAACCTGGAGCTAGCGGCGGGACCGCCGCCGATGGAGTGCCAGTGCCTGTCAAGCGTCGCAAGGCTGTGCACAAGATGAACATGAATTTCTATGGCGCTGGCGGCGTAGATTCCACTAAATCCGAGGAGCCTTCCCAGGAACGTACGCCCCTCTTCAAATATGAGCCCGGACTAATTGTCGAATGCACTCTCCTCGAGCCCTGTACCAATGTCAAGGAGTTTAAGGCCGATATGCGTCAGTATCCGGATATCAAGTATGTGGACATCAAGGAAGGGGATCAGGTGGCCCAGCTGCGCTTGGCCACACCCGTGGCCGCCGAGGAGTTGGTACGACAGGTGAGCTGTGCAGAGCGTCAACTAAAAGTGCTTCGTGGCCAGCCCGAAGCGCTCTATTGGCGCAAGATCGAGCAGGATCGCGAAGCGAAGTTGTCAAAGAAAGTGCGTGTCCAGCAGAAGCGTGGCAGGGAGAAAATCTCCACGCTGCTGGCCAAGCACATTAAGTTTGATGATGGTGACGATGAGGTGCCATCGATTGAGTGATAACATGACCTGGATGTTGTTAGCTGTTGGTTCTACCAACACCTAAAAAACCAAACAGTCTGATTTGTTTTTTAAACCATAAAATAAATATGCAGAATTATACGAAAAACTGCTGTTACCATACTTCTTTATGAAGGTGGAATTTGATATACCCTTGCAGGGTATTATAATTTTAGTCTGATCCACACAGGACAGCTTCCAAATTAAAATTAATTCATTTTTGGCTGAGTTATGCGGTTTTTAAACTTTAAATTATCGAAAAAATGGTTATAAAAATATCATGTTAATGCTAATACTTTTAAGGGTCTGAAATAACACCTTCTGTGTAGAAACTCTATAAGATATTTCATCAATTAGAAAGAGAGGGCTTTAAAAAAAAATAATTTCATATCTAAATTTGTTCCCAGCATAAATTGGTTTCAAAGAATTGCATTTTCCACTTACAATTGAATCATATATTTATTTCACTTCATCTCAGCAACCTTCCGAAGGTTCAATCCTATTACTTAACACATTTTCTTACAATCTTGTAATCATTAAATAGTTATTACCTATTATTTTTAATATACACAATAATGGAAACATTGTTTTTAGTCTATGCTTTTGGCGTGCAGAATTTCCCCATCTTCTAGTCCCATCCCCCCCTTAAAGTCAAACTAAATATACAGTGATCCATCCGCAGGGCCCAGATAATGCATCGAAATGAGCAGAACATCGATGATCGTCCAAACGCCAAGTCCCCCGAAGCTGAACAGCTTGCCAATGCCCTCCTGCCAGTGGCCCAAGTAGAAGCGATCGGCCCCAAAGCCGCCCAAGGTGAGGCTGATCAGGAGGGCGGTGCTCCAGCGATAGCCCTGCGTCCAGTTGCACCGTAGATTGCGGGTAAAGGAGCGATTGCCCAGGCACAGTACATCCTGGTGCACGGTGCAATTGGTGCGATAATACTTATCTGCTATGGAATTGCAGTTGGCATGCTGATAGCAGTTCTGTTGCCACATCTCCGTCTGGTAGCAGTATCTGCAGTTCATCTGGCGCTGGAAGCTCCGTTCGCCTTGGCACTGCACATTCCCGATGATCTCGCAGGTTACGTTCACATCCCGTCCGTACAAACAGGCATTGTTGTAGGCACACCGAATGCATGGAAACTGCAGGCGCTCGCAGGGCGTATCCTTGTCGTATGGGCACAGCATATTATTGTTGTTCCCATTGCTGCTGCTGCTGCTGCTGCTGCTGTGGGCGGTTGTGTTGTCCAGGCTCCCACCGCCGTTCTTGGAGACCAGTGGCGTCATGTGCACCTCGTTGTCGTTGCTATTACCATTGGCATTTCCATTGCCATTGTTATTACTCGTATTATCTTTGTGATCACCTTTCGCATCCGACAGATCCATCTGGTTGCCACCGCTGGCCGTCTCGCTGTTCCTAATCCCTGTCAGCACAAAGATTACGATCAGAGCGATGGCGGAGCGCATGTTGACCACTATGCATTGACGTTGGCCAGGCATTTTGTAGGAATAATACGTATAAAGCAACTAGGATCTGCAATTTCGATGTTATTGTCTTAGCGGTAGAGTGACCGTTTCGCATCAAGGGAAAAATACCAGGTCGAGACGACTGTTTATTCCCGCTGCTTTTGGTATTTAAAAAACGTTCTGCAAATGAAACTTTCTTTTGGTACATGGGGAAAGTCATTGTTGGGGCTTTTCAGTATAATGTTTATAATGGAAGCACATTTTGTGAAAAACTAACTTTATTTTACCAAATTGCACGCTTTTGCAGTCTGAAATATCGATACGGTATATTTACATCGATATACCGATATCACGGTTACTTCTAAAAGTAATCGGTATATTGGTACATTTCTCACATCCCTAGTTTTTTGTTATTGTGGCTACCAAATGGATTAGATTGTTCGTAAAATCAAATCCATCAGTGAAAATGGCACGCACTGCCGTCGAATAATTGCAAGCCGGAACAAATCGGTAAACCACAGTGAAATAACTGAAAGAAAGCGAGTGAATTCAACGCACAGCATTTTCGCTATTTCATTGCTGGCTGTGTATGCTTGGGTGCGTGTGTGCTGTGTTTGTGTGCGTGCTGCAGGGCCTGTGTGTGACAGTTTTTAAAAGGGGTCGCGTTTGTAATAAATAAAGAGGTAAACGATCGGCAAATGTAAAATATCATGGTCAAATGAATTTAGAAAAGGTTACTTTAAATAATATATAATTTCAAAAAATGCAAATTAAATACTTTTTTTTTATGTTCTCAAATGTTCTGATGAATGAATGAAAGTAAATAGCACTCGTGTTATTAAAAACTATTAATACTATTAATTTGTATTGCCGCCGCAATGAATAATCAGAATTCAAACTAAATCTACTGGATTATTAACCCTCTAACATTGCCTCTTGCGATACTATCGTTTTATCGTACAGTGTGCACGAGTATCGATGAATCCGGGATATCGCCGTTCCGCAATCTCTAGCTCTAGCGTCGCGTCCATCACTCAGCGTCGGATCGCTAAAAAAAAACACTAATACAAACACTCGGGGCGTGTGATTTAAATATAAATCTAACTTGGAATTGCGAAATGTGTAAATTAGTGTATGTCTAGCGCAAAGTCGGTTTATTTTAGTAAAACTTCGACGGCAAACAACAACAACAAGTATCGGGAAAAAAGGCAAACGGCAAAATTTTTTGTTTGCTCGCTCGCTGCCCAGCTCTCTCGCAGCGTGCGTGCGTGTGTGTGTGTGTGCTTGTGTATTGGTGTGCGTGTGCAGGAGCAGCGTCATCCATATCTACGTCCCTCTCTCTAAGTCCCTCTCTTCTTCTTGCCCCCAAAAGTGAAACATGTTTTTCTGTGGCAACAACAAACGCCACAACAACAACGGCAGCTGCAACAATCGACAAAAACAACAAATGCAGCAGTAGCACCTTGTGGAATAATGCATTGAAAACAAATGCAAGGAAGCTCAACAACAACAACAGCAACGGCATCAGCGGCAGCATAGGAAAAATCAAATGTAAGTAAGCCCTCTTACTGGCTGCTTTTCTCTTCTGTTTTTCTGTTTGGTTAGGTTGAAAAGCGAGCACAGCGAAAAGGAGGTGGAGAACGTAAGAGGAAGAGAGTGTTTGCTGGAGAGGGCGAGGGCAAAAGAGAAACAGAGAGGCGTCAGCGACGGTCGTTGCTAGAAACGCGTAGCAAGGCAAGCCAATTAGACTTGCCGGCATTTTGGCTTTGCAACAGCGAATCCAATTGGAAATGGGGGGTATTTGTGAAATTTTGAACCGAAATCGGTTAGAAATTATAAGTTCAAGTAAAGCTTGCCTCTCTCTGCATAGGTACTCGTGACTGTCCCATTACTTCCTTTGTTTTCCGCACTTCTTTGTTCATTTGTGGCGTTTTTAACGATTTAATTAAATATGTTTGATGTGTTAATTGAGGGTCCAAGAATTATAATTTAATTTGTTTGATGGCCCAGTGTTTTTTTCTTCTTTTATATACATATATACTTTTTTTTTTTTAATAATTGTTGTGCTCTCTCTCGCTTAACAGTCTGCAAATGCGCGCGCCCTTTCTCTGCTCTCTGTCACTCGCAATATTCCATTCCTGTTCTCTTCTTTGGTTCGCGCCTTCTCTCTCTAGTCCGTTTCGAGTTTCAAGAAGCGACGACACTAAAATAGCTGTAAAAAACAACAACGACGCAACAGCGCTGCAAAAGGTGGCAACCCTGCTGCACTTGCACATGTAATCCGCTCGCCGACCCCTTATTATATTTTAATTAAAGAATTTCAAAAATTAAATCAATTATATTAATAATAATAATAATATGAAGAGAGGTGGGGAAAGCACTCAAACAGCTGTTTGCTCTTGTTTAAAATCAGTTTTTATGCTTAGAATGCGGTTTATACTCATATAAAAATATCTCTAAATATCGTTTTTAATAATGCAATTTCCGATTTGATCTTATACTTATATACTTATACAACTGTATTATAATTCCCGATGTTAGTTTCCTTTCTTGTTATTCTTTATTATTTTTTTTTTTAAATTAATATTATCTTGCAATGTTATTTATTTATATTTTATTTCTCAGAAGATTTCTTTTTGATTACAATTTCCCCTCTGTTTAAGCGTTGCACTCAATTTTTTTGTTTACCACAATTCCCAAGAATATCGGTTTTTTTTTTATTTGTAAACATGAAGTTGGCTAAAATATGGATTTAACTGGTACTTCTTAAGTTTCTTTATTCGAATGTTTTATAGTTAACTAAGTATTAAAAATAATCTAATAGGTTGAAGAAGATTGTGAATAGCATTATTAATTTGAATTACCTTGCTTATGCAGGGTCAAGAATTTGAGTTTAAATTTGAAATCTGTATTGAGGTATTTAGAACTATTAAAAGTATGATAGTAGCTACGTTTCTTAGAACTATTTTACCAGATACATTTGTGTTAAAACCCCTCCTTTTGCAATCCGATAATTCCCAGCACTTTCTGGTAATTGCTAATTAACACTTGCTACTAATTGTTGACCTTTCCCCTTTCACCGATTACTATCGTTGGGCTTAATGCGTATCTAGAATATTTCAATGGTCCCCAATTACTGCGCAATTGCGACGCTGACGCAGCTATTTAACTAAACTAAACTAACTAACTGTGTAACTAACTACGTAACACGTGTGGCTAAAAGCCAGGGCGGGGGTGACGCGTCTGTCATTTAATCACAACAAACCAGATGCCTCTCTACACACGTGCTGGCTGACTAGAGTGAAAGAGAAGCAATAGGGATTTGTTATTATTATTATTTTGCTTTCTAATCGCTGCAATCAATGTGCATTAATTTAGTAATGAAAGATTTGTAAAAAAATTAATTTTGTTTAATGCGTAATTATTCGTTAATTATTTGTGTGAAATAATAACTTATAGCGATACAAACTCTAACTTTAGTCGGGAAAATACACCCCCTGATTATATACAAATTTAATTCAGATTAGTTTTTCTTTTATATTTTGTAGTCAAAGAAACCATGACTATATTATAATTGGATCTTAGAACATAGTTTGTATTCTCATTGTATATTTTTTTAACCTTAACATATATCATTTCGATCTTATCATCATATTGTTTGAAACTTGACACACATTTTATGTTGACCTTAGTTCTAATCATTTAAACAATATGACGTTTGAATGCATAAATATTTTAGAATTTTAAAAACATTCGAAATAGGTTATATTATATCATATTCAGGTTAAAATTTTGTGGAAATGTTGCTGATGTTTCTAAAGGATGGGTTTAATTTTAAAAATAAAAAGATGAATACTTAAAATATACATGTTTAGTTCGATTTAATGTCATTTTCATCTGTTCCCTTATTTATCAACCACTCTCTTAGATATTATTATTATTATTTGTTGTTGATGCATTTACTTGTTGTTATTATTGTTGCTGCTGTTGCGAAATTATAATTTTCAATGCCATTGTCAAAGCTGCGACGTCATCCGTCCTCAATGAATGCGCAGTTTTGAATTACACGAGCAACACCGACTAAGCAAATAACAAAGAGATATAGCTAGCTTGCAGAGTATTATTATTTTAGTCAAGAGCTTTTAACGCTGAGAAAGAGTCACTTCCGAACCTATAAATGAAATTCGATCACTAGCAATTAATACATTATAAATGATATATATTTATGTTAAAAACAATAAAGTAATGCCTGCTTTCATTTTATTCACCGTTTTGAATTTTTCTTTATTTTTAACTGTTTAAGTTTATTTGGCAGCTTTATGATATAGTAGTCCGATTTTCATAAAATTTTACACAAAATTTTAGATTAATATATAATGGCTATATATAAAATTTGATGAAAATCTGTTAAAAACTGGAAAAGTTATATTTCTTTCTTAAAATTTCCGATGGTTCCTATGGCAGCATATATATATATACATATGTATATGTATAGTCCACCGATTTGCCATGCTCCGACTTTTATATAAGTAAAATTATATAGAAGAATAACTCCATAGTTTCATTAAAATAGCTTAAATTTGTTCAAAAACAAATCTCGCACATCTGAACATATGATTCCCAACTAGTTCTAACATCCCCGGAACGAAGTGACTGCTGACGGCCAAGTATCAGATATGTGTTGTGTTACAAAAGTTGCAAGTCATTGTTTACAAGTGTTCAAAGTTAGTTACTGATCATACATACATACTGATCATAGATACTTACTAATCATAGTTGCTTACTGGTCATAGATACTTACTGTTCAGAGTTACTTACTCCTCAGAGGTACCTACGGAATATAGTTATTTACTGATCATAGTTACTTACTGTTAATAGTAACTTCCTGTTGAAAGATATTTATATAATACTCTTTCTAAATATAAACAAATGGAAATATTTGTATAAAACATGCAGATCTTTTCTTGTTTAAATATACTCATGATTGGTTTGGTTTTTTTAATTATTATTTATAAAACTTTTTAAAGGATATAAATTGTCTGATTCTTTTTCCAATGACTAGAAAATATTTAATTAAAAAAAACTTTACTTCCTGTTGTA